TTTATGAAATTATTTGTAATTGGTTAACTAGTTAAGTTGTGCATCATCAAGACCTAGGGCTTAGTTTACTTCTTCATTAACCATGGTATTTATAGTTATACACTTGTACTAACTTATAAGATTATAAAATCAAGTTAGTCCAAAATGAGTCCCTCTATTTTATTTTATTCTTCTTTTACTCTAGCGTTATCAATTATCAACTAATTATGATATCATTATCGACAAAAACATAATTGTAAGACTATATTATTATTATTATTATTAACCCCCCTTAGTAGACAATGTTACACTGTTGTTTAAATATCATATTCAATCAAAAATTAAAATATAAATGTAACATCAATCTAAAACATTAAACAATGTTACAGTGGCCTCGAAACTTAACTCAATGACTCAAGAGTTATTATGGAAGGCTTGCTCAGCGGTGAGGTGAAGATTCGATTCCCACGAAAGATATAAGGAATCATTAGGAAACGCAAAACCCAAAAAAATTACTAGAAGTGATGAAAATCCCATGTGCAGAAATTAAAGACTGACGCAATTCACAATTTACCTTCTCTAACACGCTTGGATAGAAGTTTTGGGAACTTAGGATTAGTCTAGCATAAATTGAGAAACTTTATATATAATTAATAACAATTATAAAAAGATGTTGCCAAAGACATTGTAGTCAAGCGGCACAACTGTTGCTCAACCTCATTGAAGGTAAGTTGAGAAAGTATGTATGGACAACTTTTGAGTCTGAGCAGTACTGAAGAATGATAAAAAGAGTTGTACTACATGTCTACATGTACTCCCAAATCTTACTCCCTGATATGGCGAGATATGATGAGTTATTTTTTTCATGTTGGCCCCTGTAAAAGTGTCAACATCAATATTTTAAGTGTGGGAGTAAAAACTGAGAGTACATGTAGCATTTTCTTAATATAATCTAATAAAAATATAATAAGTCTCAATCAAAGTTATATCCCTCATTTATGTTCATGTTTTTTATGCTAATCATTTTGTACATTGTGCTTTTAGAGTTGTACTATATAATTTTTTGGACAAAAATACTCATACCATTATAACTTTCATTATCTTTTTTATTATTGTTACCATGCACATGCATTCACCATATATTTTTTTTTTATATTTTTAATAATATTTGTAAATATTATATCTTGAATTATTATAATAAATAAATTTGATTTCATATAATTTTAATTAATATAGATTTGTTAATTATTTTAAATAACAAATATTTAGCATATATTTTTGAGCATATAAAAGACTAGTAAAAATGATAAAAGCGATGTTATAGTGTTGGCAAAACATCACATTCAATCAATCAATTCTTCCAAACTTCTCGTACGACTACCAACCATCATATCATACTTGGGAAGAATAAAATACCATACTCCTTTTTTAATTTTTTTTTTTGAAGAATAAAATATCATACTTTTAAGTTTTTTTTTTTTTTTTTTTTTTTTTTGAAACCACATACTTTTAAGCCTATTACTCCTTATATTTTATTCAATGTGTTGGTACAAGATCATATTCAATCAATCAATCCCCAATACATCATACCAGACCTTATTTTTACATCATTAAATTTATATAATTTTCATCATTTTTTTACATCTCAATAATATTCTCTCACTTTAAAAAATATTCTCACTTTTAATAAAATAAATAAATATGTGTATATAATAATAAGAAAAATAGAAAAAGTAAAAAAAAAAAAAAAAAGAGTATAGGAAAGCTGCCAAATGACAGCTGCAGCTTTCCTTGTCTTTTGCAACAAAAAAATAAAATTATTTTACACCCTTGCAAAGTCAATATTTGATGGTTAAGGAGAACCTAATATTATAGTTTTAAGCCTATTATATTTCATGGAATGTCATTCACACGCCGGGAGAAGTTGAGGCGATTGTTATCCACGAAGCTTTAAAATGATTGAAGGACATTTAATATGATCACATCCAAGTGAAATTCGACTATCTTCAAGTCGTTAATGGGATTCTCACGCTGAGCTTGCAGTCATATTTTGATCTCATTTTAACTGACATTAGAGAAATAGCTAGGGTCTTTCCTAACATATATATGCTTTGTGTTTGCTAAACAATTTGCGAACATAGTTGCCTACTTACTTGCTCGGGACGCCTTGCTCAAATTTGATCATGTTGACTCATTTTATGTTCCTTTTCCTTTCATTGTTCATGCTCTGAACTTGGATCTTAATATATATATATATATATATATATATATATATATATATATATATATATATATATGCTTTTTCCTTAAAAAAAACAACTAATATTTGTTGTCTTTAATCAAAGTATACGAATTATAATTATCATTATTATTGTGGTTTTCTCACTAAACTACTATTATACTTGAAGACATTAATTTCAATTGATTATACATAATAAGGTATTATTTATTTTCTTTAATAAGTCAGCCCTTTAGCATTAGTCAAATAAATTAACTATTTTACCAAAAAAAAAATAAAAATTGTTAGATTAACCAATAAAAAATCGCCCAGTTTCAATTATATCGATAATAACGATTAATCAGTCAAATTTTGATCTGATCAGTTATGAAAATTCAGTTAAAATTTTACTCTGTAATTATTAACTGAAATCGATCGAAACTAACCAATACTCACCCTACATAAAACAATGTACACCCACAGATAGCGACTATAGAATTTTCACGTAACTCAAAAGAAAATTATTCAAGTGATAATATCACTATATTGGAAAAACCATTTCATTAATTTAATCGTATTGCCCAGCGACCACCCGCAGATATGAAATACCTACATGTTAAATAAAAGAAGGCATTCTAGCAAAGAAAGGCAGGCAGGCTCTGCAAGTCTTCAACCCTTCATAATGGCAGAACCAGAGTACGGTGACAATGACACTTTGACAGCGCATAGAAATATTTTGTGGGCGAAGGATATTACTATTGTCTATTCCTATCCATGCACATGCGTCCCTATACTAGGAACCAAATCACACTTCTATAATTCTTAACTTTCTCGTTACTTTTATCAAAATATCTATATTTGATCATAATATTATTGTAGTATGATAATTTTTATCATTCGTCAACAAAATGGTTAAAATATCGTTAAATAGCAAGATATTTTTGTCATTTTTATATAAAGTGAGTTGACCCGTTATATTTTTATGTTTATTTTTTTGAAAAAATTCATAATTGAAGACCGAAATGCATTTGTATTTAACCGTATTAAAATTATTTTATTGATAGAGAATAAAAAATAATCGTGGCACAATAATACTAGGATTAAATGTGAATGTTTCAATAAAAAATGATTAAAAATACTACCACATATAAATTTAAGATAAAAAAATAGAATTATATTATATATGGTGCATCAACATCCACGTATATTAGTGTATACCAATGTACAAATTAAACCACAAATAAGTTTCATGTGGTCATGTTCTCAAAAAAAAAAAAAAAAAAAGTTTCATGTGGTCAGCAGTTTGATTTTTTAAGGAATGCAAAACGTTGAGATTTTTCCCTTCCTAAACGTGGCGCTCTTGTCACAGTAAACCTGTCCCACAAACTTAAATGCAGTAGGTGAACACTATTATCAACTGAAAAGCACTGTTGTGCTAGGCACTCCTAGACCGAGGCGAATTACTCTCTAAGTGACCAGCCGCTCAAGTGCCAACTCATATCAGTCCACATGTTTCTATAAGTCCGTGTGGACATATCCAATCCATTAAAATGTTAAAAAATTAAAATAAAATTTTTTTAAATATCGTATTCCCTGATTTCTCACTATAAATGTTGTGGGATTTTAATTAATTTGCTACCAATTAGAACTGTACGAACATTCTCATCAATTTGGAGCGGGCATTCTCAGCAACTGTGCATCAGAAGCATGGTTAGAACACATACAAATTTATGTGTGCAACTGAGCAAGTACACATCATATCCATGGTATGCACGCGGACAGATTTACAGGTGGAACTAAGCAACCACTCATCAAAATCATGGTGTGCATGCGTATAGCTCTACATGAGCAAATGTACAAGTTTGTTTTAAGCATGCTACAAATTAGAACTATACGGGCATTCTCATAAATTTAGAGCGAACATTCTCAACAACTATGCATCAGAAGCATGGTGTGCATGAGTTTAGTTTTACGTGTGCAAATCAACAACTGTGTATGCGTTTAGTTTTACGTGAGCAACTGTGCATCAAAACCATGGTGTGCACACGTACAAATTTACATGTGCAACTCAGCAATTGCGCATAAGATCCATAGTGTGAACGCATACAAATTTACGTGTGCAATTGAGCAACCGTGGTGTGCCACAAAAACACCCTAAAAAACAATGGTGAATGCGCCAACAAAAAGGAGAGTACCGCAAAACAACCATATACCAATAAGAAAAAAAGCTCTTATAATCCTAGTCATTCAAAATACAAATTCAATGGATATAACTTGTCCACACAGACTCATGGGAACAAGTGAACTCACTTGATCATTGGCATATATATATATATATATATATATATATATATATATATATATATATATATATAATAAAATGAGACAACATCTTCTCGTGAGACTGTGAAACACAACATTAATGCACACAGACTAGAGTTTGTACAATTTACACAACATGAATGCACACAATCTACTGTGTCTGTATTCCTATGGTAAACTGTGTGCATTCATGTTGTGTCACACAATCTCATAGAAAAATGTTGTCTCACCGGAATATTAGCTTATGTATATACATAATATGATATACACCGACACACGTGCACTGTTTTTTTTTTTTTCCTATAATTAGCCGCCTAGGTGCTACTCTACCGCCCGACTAGCGCCTACTGCAACCGTGCTGAAAAGTAAAAATCCATGAATACTACCTACCTCAATTCCGAGTTAGTAGTCTTGTGGTTTTGCTTGGTTACCCCCTCTATGCGGGGAAGTAGGAGTCTGGTTCTTGGAATGTTGCAAATCTGCAAAAATGTTTCCTTTGATTGCGTCAAGGTCTAGCTCGATGCCAGTCTGCCAGAGAATAAATCTAAACAACAAGGTCAATTAAAGTTTTCTTAATTTTTGCACACACTGAAGACTAACATTTATCAAACTTGGTAAAGTGCGCAATGTGCATAGCAACACCAAAAGAAGTGACTTATTATGTTTTGTTCCTAGGCAAGCTCAACACAGTATATCATCTATGAAAGATTTCTTCAGCCGCTTTTGTTGGCATAACCATCTGGCTCGTTGTCGTCATCCCTGTAATTCCCGTCCAATGGGTCATGGGTGAAATCTCCAGCAACAGGCTCGGGTATCTCTTGATTTGTGTTCAGCTGTTGCTGGCCTGCACCATAACCTGCTGTCCTATCAAATCCGGTGTTGGCATAACTGTTACCATTATTGCCAATACCACTATTCCCACCATCAAAGTTTCTCTCTTCAGTGGCATAACTGCTGTTATAGCCGACATTGCTCCCATAGTCACTACCAAACCCACCACTGCCGCCATAGTTACCACCTCCACCATATCCACCCGCAACGCTGTTGTAGTTACCACCACCACTGCTGCCATAGTTACCACCACCACCATATCCACCCGCTCCACTGCCATAGCTACCACCTCCATATCCATCCCCTCTGCCATAGTTCCCACCTCCACTTCCATAACTATTGTTTCCATATCCTCCACCACCAAATCCACCACGAGGCTTCTCAGTTGCATAGTTCACCCTAATCCGTCGGCCATGAAGATCCTGTAAAATAATGCAAGAAGAAGAGTCAAAATAAGCGATATAACTTGAAATTATGCAACATTATTCTAAAATAAATTGTCTCATATGAAGCCCATGTAAAGGACTTATAGGTTGATACATGTAAGACTTGGTTGAGTTGAATTGAAATGGCAAATCTTGCTCTAAAGCAGGACAAAAACAGAAGTGGACAAGTAAAAAAGGGAGGGGATGGCCTTCTCTCAAATCTCAACCAAGTCACCAATCTGTCCAAATCCCTACTGCAAAAAATTTCTAGATTACTACGTCTGTAGTGCATCCAGTCTGCTTGTCATACCCAAATTTAACCATAGCCTATTAATATGCTTGGAGAAGGTGCTAACTACAAAAGGAATAATCAACACATTTATAACAATTAACAAAAATGCATTGGCACCTGTCCATCCATGGCCTGCATGGCACTGGTTGCACAATCAGTTGTTGAAAAACTAACAAAGCCAAAGCCTCTGGATCTTCCAGTATCACGGTCCATAATAATCCGTGCTGCAGATAATTTATTTTATCTTAAGTTATATACACTGAACATTTAATAAGATAATTTGAAAAAATGTACTCCATTCAGTAAACGTAAAACCCCATCAATAGGATATCCAACTCCCAACAAGATTGCATAGTTGCATTCTTTTACTAATTATCTTTTTATTCCAATTTACTAATCCATTATGTTCCCACCAGTTTAAGGAGTTGTAAATGTTACCAGCACAGACATGCAACTCAAAAATCAAATAAAATTGATAAGAGGATAATTTCCAAAAAAAATATGAAGCAATATTCATCCTTGGCCTTTTCAATCGTTATTGAGAAGAATGCTTGGATTTCTTAGAAAAAAACATATCTAGACGGCCCAAATGCCATGCTGCAATCAAACTGTGCAAGATAAGACTCTGAATTGCAAATTTAGACTTGGAATACCTTCAAGCACAGTACCAAACTGGTCAAATGTTTCCTTCAAACTTGTTTCATCAGTCCCATAAGAAAGGCCTGCATTAAGAGAATAAACTCACTCAAAAATGTAAAGGAGAATGAACAATTCATTACTAAAGGAAAGTCCAATCTTTTTACCTCCAACAAAAAGCTTTGAAGACGACATGCTTCTATATGCCTGGTACAGGGATGAGTTTGAGTGAGATAACTCAGGATTCATGTGCCTGCTAACTGCCTGTTTGAGCACATTTCCAATTCTATTTGCAAAAGCCATTCCTGATTCCAAGAAGACAGGTTACTGATTTTCAATATCACAGTAGAAACAAAACTTATACAACACTATGATCAAGATACAAAGCAGGTTGCTAAAGATAAGGTGTCTCATCCAATCACGGTTACTAAGATCATACCTGAATTTATTATTCCTGTACTTATCAATTAGACATTCAAGTTTAGAATAAGCCTTAAAGATTTATTACTTCAAAGTTTCAAACTATGCTCCAAGAATGAAGAAATAAACAGGTTCTCAAGTAAAACCACATACCATACCAATCTTTTATATAGCAAAAAAGTGCAAAGAAAGATGAGTGCTAGATGGCTTAAAGCATAAAGCTAAGTGCTTAGCACAACAGTGTTTTAAACGCTTTGACTACGAATACAAGGTTCACAATAATAATGGTTGATTATACAAATAACATGATTGCGCACACTATTTTTAAGCTCACAATGCCAAAAATCCATATTCCATCAGTTGGACAGGACAGAAGAAGGAAATTGAAAACAAATATAAAAAATAAAAAAAAATAAAAAAAAATAAAAAAACAAAAACAAAACAAAACAAAACAAAAATCAGATAACCAAATCAGCACATTTCAGCTCTGCTAATTTTTAAACATGTTCCGGTTCTCCACCAACTTTTCTAACTTTTAACAGTGTAAAACCAGAGAGCAAATTAAATAAACAGACAATCCGCACTATTCAAACACAGAAATGATGAACAGAAAACTGAGGAAAATGAACTCCTTAAACCCTGACTAATCCCGGATAAACAAAAACACGAAATGCGAGGTTAGATCACAAAAATCAACCTGAAATGATCAGGTTCATAGAAAAACAAAGTTATTCAACAGTGTAAGGGATCATAGAAGAATCAGACCTTCGGCGGATCGATAAACCCTTCTCGTTTAACCACCACAGCTCAGGCTTCTCAGAGCTTCCGAGAGCTAAACGGCCTGCAGAAAACGATAAAATATACATACGCCGTTTTTTTCTGAACAGGCCCTTCGGCCTTCCTACTTATTGGACATCGGTAGGCCCACACAACAGAAGTAGCCCATTATCACTGGCCCATACCACACAGTGGCTTAGGCCTTTAGCATTGGCCCATACCACACAGATCCACAGAGGTAGCCCACTAGCTTATAGTTGTCAAATTATGCTATGGACCCGTGTCCACCATGTGCTTAGTGAACACGCTGTAGATTCATAATTTCTATACTGCACATTCATAATTTCTGTACTGTAGAATCATAATTTCTGTAATGTAGATTCATAATTTTTAAACTGTATAGTTATCAAATTATGAACACATAGTTATCAAATTATGAATCTACAGTACATAAATTATGAATGTGCAATATAGAAATTATGAATCTACAGTATAGAAATTATGAATCTATAGTAGAAATTATGAATCTACAGTATAGAAATTATGAATCTATAGTAGAAATTATGAATCTATAGTACAGAAATTATGAATGTGCAGTATAGAAATTATGAATCTACAGTACAAAAATTATGAATGTGCAGTATAGAAATTATGAATCTACATTATAAATTTTATGAATCTACAATATAGAAATTATGAATCTACAGTATAGAAATTATGAATGTACAACGTGTCCACCATACACATGGTGGACACGGGTCCAGGGCATAACGCTCCCTTATAGTTTTAGACTTTTATATTCGAGCAAATACCAATTTTGATCCCACGAGTATTGTAAAATGACAGTTTTGGTCCACATGTTTAATTTTTACCAATTTTCAACCTCGACTATTATTTTAGTACCAATTTTCATCCCACGACTATTGTTTTAGTACCAATTTTCATCCACAACTATTGTTTTATTGCCAAAATTCATCACGCCGGTCACCCCTCCGTTTAAGACATACCGAAATCTAAAATTTTTAAGAGTATTTTCGTCATTTTTCAACTTAAGATCCCAATTTGAGCATGAATAAGGGAGTTAAGCCCTAAAATCTATCCCAAATCGCAGTCTCCTCCACATCCTACCTTAATTTGAGAATGAGAACTGCGAATTGAGATTAATCTTATAGCTTAAATCTATTTATCCATGTTCAAATTGAGATCTTAATTTGAAAATGATGAAAATACCCTTAATAATTTCATATTTAAGCATGTCTTAAACGAAAGCGTGATCGGCGTGATGAATTTTGGTACTAAAACAATAATTGTGGATGAAAATTGGTACTAAAACAAGTTGTGGATGAAAATTGGTACTAAAATAATAGTCGTGGATGAAAATTGGTAAGAATTAAATATGTGGACCAACACTATCATTTTGTTAATACTCGTAGGATCAAAATTGATATTTACTCTTTTATATTTCTGTGATGATGACGGAGTAAAGAATAAAATTAATTTTTTATTTAAATTATACTCTTATATTTTTGTTGAAAGGAATTATACTCTTCTATACTCCTCCCCATCAAGCGCCTTGTGCTCAATTGACACCTTTCTTAAGGAAAAGTCGCATGATTAAATCGTAGTGATACGATATTCACTCTTTTGGTTGCAATTGATATAGAAAGTATAAAAACATAATAAGTCTCAATTAAAGGTATATTCATAATTTATGTCTTTTTTTTTTTTTTTTTTTTTTTTTTTTTACATTATGCTATAAGAGTTGTATTATACAATTTTTTAGACAAACATGTCTCAGTTAACTTCCATGCACATATATACACAATATATTTTCTTATATATTATTCAAATGGTAATAATATATGTAAACATGCTATCATAATAAATAAGTTTGATTTCATTAGATTTAATTAAATGTTACCATAATTATTGATGGATTTAATTAACTCGGATGACTCAAATTAACAAACCTGATAATTAAAGGATAAATAAGTGGATAAAAGATAACGGTAAAAGACAAGAATATTGATGGAGAAGTCAAAAGACAAGGATATCGTATTCAAGAGCAATGTAATGTTATTGCAAGTGTATTGAGGATGTCTTAACAACTATTGTATTTATCCTAAGTTGTCCCCTTAAAACGCCCTCGAAATTAGGAGAATAAGTTGTAATCACTTTGACTCCATCCGGCCTCGAGCCCGGGCCTGGGCCTAGCTAGGCTGAAGTTGAGGTCGAGACCTCGTGGCCTAGGACGAGCACGGGGTCGGCCCCGGGGTCCCGGGGCCAACTGAATCCGCCTTGTTTCGTTCCATTGGGTCAGTTTGTTCCGAGTCCATCTCTAATATGTCAATCAATTATATTTAGTATTTTATCATAGGAATAAGGGTCAAATAGGCCATCGAACTGCACACGATAATGCAATTAGGTCACTGAACTTTAAAAACCAACAATTAGATCCCTAAACTAACCAATTTCAAACAAATCTTTCAATTTAAAGGTTTCCAACATGTCATCCTCCCAAATTAATTATTTTTTAAAAAATAAATTTTAAAAATTAATTATTTTTAAATTTAAAAAAAAAAAAAAAAAACAAACAAACAAACAGCACTCCGGTCGGAGTCCTGTTTTTTTTTTTTTAATTTAAATAATTAATAATTAATTTTTAAATCTATTTTTTAAAAAAGAGTAAATACCCAAAATGGTCCATCAACTATAGCTAAATTCACAAATTGGTCATCGACTTTTAATTTTAACCAATTAAGTCCTTAACTTTACAATTTTAACACGATTTGGTCCCCTATCTATTTGACCATTTGTTGACCGTGATCTTTGAGGATATATATGTAATTTCATCGCCGCCCGCCCTCATCCGCTGTCGTGACACAGTCTAGGATGACGTTGCACCTATTCGAAAACACGTCGTATTCTTCGCTCTGGTACAAACTCAACTACATTGAATCCAAATAGAGGATGAAAAAAGGCGACAGGATTTGACAGATTACTTTCGGCAATGTAACAGTGCGGTCTGAAAATGCAACCGGAACCTTAAAAAACCGACGATGGACCATGAAATTACACATATATCCTCAAAAATCACAGTCAACAAACAGTCAAATAGACGGAGGACCAAATCGTGTTAAAATTGAAAAGTTAAGGACTTAATTGGTTAAAATTCAAAGTCGAGGACCAATTTGTGAATTTAGCTATAGTCGAGGGACTATTTTGGGTATTTACTCTTTAAAAAATAATTAATTGGGAAGGATGACCTGTTAACCTGTTGGAAACCTTCAAATTGGAATAATTGTTTGAAATTGGTTGGTTTAGGGACCCAATTGTTATTTTTTTAGGTTCAGTGGCCTAATTGAATTATCGTGTGCAGTTCGATGACCTATTTGATCCTTATTCCTTTATCATATATAAAATTTTTATATTAATAATATTAAACATATCGTCATAATTATTACTCAAATTATCAATTATATGTTTTTGAATACTATTGATTTTATTACAATGTAGTATCCTTTCAACATGGGGAGTGCGGTTGAGTGAAAAGGACTCATCTATCCTTAAGTAAAGGTCAGAGCAACCTTAAATCTCAGCAACATATATTTTTGCGCATATAAAATATTAGTTTGTTTAATAAATATAAGAGAGCTTTTAATGTTAATATGTTATGCACTTACCCTAATTTTTTATATTTTAATGAGATCCACAAAAAACTATCCGATCTCAAATTTTTCTTCTTCTTTTCTCTTCCACATCATACTTGACCTCACAAAAAAATTATTAAAAAATTACTAATGAAAATATTCTTTAAAGTAATATAAGTTTAGATTCAAATTTCACCCATTCTAGATTATATGATGTAATAAAACATTTTTTTTTAAAGTCAAATAAAATGGAAGGATGGAGGGTATTGTAAACATTATTTCATCATCAAGATGATCGTTGACGTGATGCTAACATAACTAAAACCATGAATATTGACTTTTTGACTTGTGTCTGCATGCATGAACTTCCCCATCAATCACCGAACCAGAAATAAATGAGTCTTCAAGTTGCATCCCACACGCAAGTTGCTGCTGTATTCTGTGGGGCCATGGTGATCGTCCATTCGTCCCTTTCCTCAAAATTAGTGAATAAGATAAATTGAAATGTGCCCATGACATAAAATGACTCTTTTAAATGGAAGGTCATGAGTTTGAGTTTTAATAAGGGTAATATTAATTCTTTATGTTTTAATATGTTGAGAAAATAGATATGAACAAATACTACATTGTAAAAAAAGTGATTTATAAACTTCTAAATGTCTATACTAGTGCATAAGGTTAAAACTATACCTGTCTTCTGCAACTACATAGTACATACTAACAAAGCAAAATTTATAAACTTATTATGATACGATTGATATGTTAGACTAATTAATATAGGAGGTTTTTGGTTAATAACTATTAACTGATTGGATTAGTGAGTTTGACTAGTTGATAGTATTAGCTGATTGTAGAAAGATATTTGATAAATTAGTTGTTAACTGATAGCTGATTACATGCAAATTGACTTTCTCAAAATGTTTACTTTGAACAATTTTTTGCATTTTAGTGTTTTAGAACAATAAGTTGTAACAAAAAAAACTAATTAATCAAACACTTATATTGGCTGTTTAACTAAGTCAAACAACTAATAGTGGTTAAACAATCAAAATTAAGTGATGTTACCAATCAGGACCATAATGTTTTGTTGTTAGGAACTTATTAGAGAGATGAGTAATAGAAATCAAGCAAGGGCACATGGGATCAAAGGCTTTTTTAATTCATTAAAATTTGTGTGACTGAGGTAGTTGGATTCAATAACAAAAAGGTAGTTGGACATCCCTGGCTTGTCTACCATCACCACCCACTTGTTGAGGACCTATCCGAATTAATGTTGGATAGCAGATATCAATTCCATGTTTATCAAGTTGGCCTGAAAGACTTGTCAAGTTGCCTACAAGAATGAGTTTGAATCTGCAATATACCTGACAACAACTTTTAAAAAAGATTACGCATTGTTCGGTAAATCGTTGTTAGCTGATAGCTGGAGTGTAACTAGTTAATAGCATTAACTGATTGCAGAAAAGTGTTTGGTAAATTAGCTGATAACTGATTACATACAAAACGACTTTCTCAAAAAGCTAATCGAAGAAATTACTTTGAGCAGTTTTTTGAAGTAATAAGCTGTTACAAAGAGCTAATTAATCAAACATTCATATTGACGATGGATAAACTAGAACATGGGAATAACAATGAGTACTACATTCCCAGATTACAAATGGGAATAATGTTGCAGAAACAACAATTTCTAGCTACAAATGTAAAAAAAGGGAGATAGAAAACATGTACAGAAAGGAGTTCAAAATTTCTGCAGCAAATTCCTGGCTGATTATCATCTTCTGTGAGAGCCGTGGAGCGATTTTGGAGACCCTTCGAAAAGATCCAAGAGCAAGCTTTCCAAATCGTCTGCGCCGTACTTGATCTGCCTTTCGCTAATGTTAATTGCGTGCCTCCCCACGAATGTTCGATAGCCCTGGATGACATTCAGGGATGTCTTGATTACGAGATCATCCCGGAGCTGGGGATCCGGGACTGTCCACCCGGTTTGGTTCTTGTAAACCTCTTCAAACGCGAGGTAGAAGCTCTGCAGCCTCTCTTTCAGAAGAGTTCTCGAGATGGAATTCGAGCCGGGGTTCTGCAGCCCTTCGTCCCTCAGTAGGGACAGGATTGAGCTCCACGTAGCTCGTTCGTAGCTCCGGGCGTGCTGCTGGAACTTCCAGTTGCACTTGCGAATCCAGTCGTCGCCCAGCACGGTTCTCAGCTCCGAGCTCTTCACCTTCTTGGCGATATAATGCAGATTGTTCATCAAGAAAAGGTGTCTGAGGGCCTCGTCCTTGTACAGCTTCGACTTGGCCTCGAGGTTGCATTCCAGAACCGAGGTGAAGGATCTGAAGTGCTGAGCCATCGAGGAACTGCTCGGGTTTCTGCTGGCACTATCGTCTTCGCTGCTCGGGCTCATCTCGGGTGAAACCGTGACCGAATCTTCGTCCTTGAGAAGCTCGTTGAGAGTCGTGCTGTAATCCATGAGAGTTTTCATGTAGTTCATAACGTATCTAGTGAGATGATGGATTCCACCCCCCGGGAACGCGTTGGCTGAAAGATTAGATGCAACCGCGTTTTCGAAATCGAGAAAAGTGGCCTTTGCACAATTGCCCAAACTTCTTATAACATCCTCACACTCCACCCTAACAGATGATCCAGCCTCGTCAAAGTAGAAAGCATCGATTTCTGGCATAAGATCTGTGAGCACCTCGAACATGTCGAGTATCCGAATCAGTTTTTCTGGTTGGTTGGGGCCGATTGCCACAGCTTCCCCGAAATTCAGAAGCTGCAACATTGAAGTTTTCGACGATTCTGCAAAGCAAACAGAGCTTACTGATCCAAGCTCGATGAAAATCTGATCACCTAGCCATTTCTCGCTTGCAAGATAGATACGAACGAAAATCTTGAAGGCTCTAACCCACCTCCTGATTTTCGAGTTCAGCGTGTTCCAATCCATCTTCTGAACATCCTCGATGCTCAGTTTCTCGACTTCAAGGATGAAGAGACAATCATCCAAGGCGTCTTTTCGCACGTTGATATATGCTTGGCTACATTCCCGACCATAATTCGAATCAAACATCAAATTGGCAATGCATTTTAGGTCAGGAATCACATCGGGATGCACGAGCTCAATGATGAAATCCTCGGAGCTTCTACTCATGCTATCTCTATTAACCCCATCATCAACCGAGTCATCCCCGAAGGAGACAATCGAGCTCTCATCCACGATATCTTCTTCGCTGGAACGGAAAGACATATGCTCGGGCTCGAAAGGCATCCGGTTGTGAACCAACAAATGCATAAACTCCTCCTCGAGCCTACTCATCGCTGTCTGGACAACATCATGAACCCTCCTCAGAAGCTCGTTCTCTTTGCTATCTTTCTCGACACACAAACACAAACCCTCCAACTTCTCGACTAGCTTTCGAGCCTCATCCACACACCTCAGATACTCATACGCTTCTTCAGCCCCGCAATCCCACAGCATAGACTGCTGCCCCTCCCAGCTCATGATCTTAGTCTGCAAACCGTTCAGCTGCTCCTCGAACTCACTCATCCTCTCCTCCTCCTCACTATGCACTCCCTCATCGCTATTTTCACTAGTTCTAGTTATGGAGGTCAATTGGGTCCCAAGATCTGCCAATTTTTTCCTAGTATCATCTGTCAAATCTGTTTTCGTCTCCAACGCTTTCGCTATACGCTGCAATGCAGCAATCAAGTTCTCTTCCTCATCCAACATAGACACTACTGGTTCACAATCTCCCATACTAACAAAACGAATAGGATCACAAGGTCGGATTTACCCAGAAAACAAAAACCCCAATAACACAATCAAATAGCCCAAAAGCCTAAACTAAACCCTCAAGCTACCAAATCAAGATATATGCACATGCTGCTAAGTTTTGGGTTTCTGCAATTGAAGCAGCAGGCAAAAGTACTAAGAGATGAAATAAAACAGAGGCCAAATCTCACGAAAAGACAATAAAAATAGAAAGAAACAAGACAATATTTGGGATGATCTATAACATAGCAGGTAAACCGTAAATGTGAAAGCAAGTATAAGGTACAGAATATGGAAAGAAGGGGGAAAAAGTTGCAAACTTTACGGTTTAACGAGCTTCACAGATAGAAGAAGATGAAAGCAGACAAATCTTGAAAGAACCCAAATAAATTCTTGATGCATGAAAGAAGAAATCGGGTCAAGTTGAGGTATGTTTATATATGTATGACTGTACCGAAGTATTTGAGCTTATACCCAAAAGAGAGCGGCGGAAACTGACGCTTCTAGACTATGAAGATTTGAAGGTAAGACTGCAAGAAAGAAAGAGTTCCTCTTCCTGGAGCTTTCAGATTCCAAAGATGAAACTTCGTGGGAACGAGGAACGACCCACGTTCCAAACTTTTTGCAATATTTAAAGTGGTCTTGTCCCTGCCTTCTGGTTTCGCAATAGTTTTATATATCCCTGAAACTGTGCTTGGGCAATTGGCGTTGAAATTTGACCAATTGACCTCCCACTCTGCCGGTCACCATTTAACATTGTGGGTTACGCCCTTACGCGAATTAATTGACTAGCGGACCAATTGTCTGTAACATGATTCAAAACGACGTTTTTGAATTTTATGAATTAAAATAATGTATATTACGAGTTATAATAATGTGCTTTATATATTATAACAATGTTTATTGTGTGTTAAAATAATGTACATTATGTGTTAGAATAATAAAACTTCTGAGATAAGATAATATACTTTATGAGTTTGAATAATGTAAATTATAAGTTATAGAAAGTATGTTGCAGTGGGCCGTGTAAAAGAAATACCAAAACGACGTCGTGTTTGGACTGTAGTTCACACAAATGTATGGACCACGGTGCACACAATAACTATTAAAAGTTTAGTTCAGTACTTGATAAAAATTATTTATTAACATTTTTGTCTTTAGTCATCAGGTCAACTTATACTCCGTATTAATTTATAACTAATATCATAAGATGAACTTTTGCTAAAGCTTTCTTTCTTTTATTATTATTATTTTTTGTTGGTGTAAAGGAGGAGCCAAACGGTCCCGGAATTAATAGATTCATCTAGTTGCAACACTATTAGCATCGCACTCCAGAAAACCTCTCACACCTTCCGACGGATGAATAAGCACCGATGTCCCCCAGCTGTTGTTTTACCCCAAATTAGCTAGGAAGTCTGCACATTGATTCCTTTCTCGCAACACGTGCATGATCTCACACTCTTGGAATTGATCCATCAAAGCCTTGCAATCCGTAATTAAATTATCTGCTTCCAGGCTGGTCCCTGTCTCCTAATTTAAGGCTTGAACCAAAGCTTTCGAGACCGTTTTCGCGACAATCTTTATGAGCCCTCAGTTCTTGGCCACGGGAAGACCCTCTCGAAGGCCCTAGAGTTCCGCAATAAAGCTACCCGTAATGCCAATTTTGGTGGTAAACCCCACAATCCATTTGCTAATATGATCGCAGAGAACCTTGCCTGCACTAGTCATGCCCTAGTTAGCTTTTCTAACGCCATCCGTATTAAGTTTGAAGCAACCTTGATGAGGTGGGGACCAACAAATTAAACCAAATTTGTTTCCTCACTGTCAGACTAGAGTGCTTAAGGATACAATGTTGCGCTTCTTCAGTTTCTTTCGACGCACGCCTCCATAACTCCATCGTCGGAACATAAGCCTGCCTGATGATAAATTCATTTCGGACTTTCCACATATTCCATAGCATGTGAATAAAGGTTACTTTTTAATAAAGTTACGGACTTTATAAAAAATCAGAGAAAAATAGTTGACTAGACTGTCTACACAACCTCAATCACTTTCCTCTTATGGAGCATTATTACCATAGTCACATTTATTTTGCTTAGTTATTTGAAATGGATGGTGTTGCTTTAAATGTTAACAAAGACATTGACTTTTGTTAATTGTTACTTGTTAGGTTGGATAAACAATGCCATATGAGTATATGACCATAAATGTCTTTGTAATTTTGTCATGTAAGCTCTTTTTTTTTTTTTTTTTTTTTTTTAATTTAACGAATAGTAATGTGATAATTTAATGATTGAATAATATATTCATATAACTTAGTGATTAAAATTTGTTTAGAGGAGTCTAACTAGATTTAGGTGATTAAACCGAGCAATAAATGCATGTCTCATACCATTGGACTGTGCCAAGTGTTAGAGAGCTTTGGTGTCAACTATAACAGGGCGTTTGGTTGGAAAGGGGGAATTACGTAGGAAAGAAATTGTAATTTAATGGGAGATGAATTATTGTGAATAAAGTGGAAATTTAAATTTCAGTTTGGTTTACAGGAATAAAATTACTGGGAATTTTAATTTCATTGTTTGGTATACATGGGAGTTGAAAGGGAATAAGTAGTATAAAGTCCAAAATGTCTATTGTTATTGTCAGACATTAATTTTAGGTTAAAAAAAGAAGGGGTAATTTTGACTCATCAGTCATCACTATCTTTTTTTCCTCCTAAAATTCCAAGGGGGACATGGGATTTTAATTCCATGAAAATGGGAAAATTGCAATTCATTTCAACCAAACAAGAGAATTTTGTAGCCTTTGGAATTATGTGAGTATTGGGAAGGGAATTTAAATTCCCTTCAACCAAACGCCCTGTAATAGTCTATGTTATATTTTACTGATGATAATATAAATTAAATTGAAAAAAAAATATGCATGAGATAATAAATTACGATATTAAAATGTATTAACTGAAAAAGAGTATAAAGCAATAATCAATTCGAATCCGGATAAAGTAGTCCGATCATATGCAAGATTCAAAATGCTTAATACAAATATACAATGGCATGCTATTTATGCTTAATCCTGGCAAACATATGATAAATTGTAACGAGTGGGTTTAATGTGATGCGCCTTTATTAGTGGATAAGAGTTGATCGTGATGAGGAATTCTCGTTCCTTCTAATTCTCCGTGGGAACGGTGGAGATGGAAACTATTTTTATTTTTTTGTCGAGAATGAGGACGGATTTAGGGAATAATGACGGTGAATATACTCTTCGCTCCCATCTTACCCCGTTGTCATTCCTAATTAAGTGACAATTACATATTTTGTATTATAAAAGTTATTCTGATAAAAAAAATCCATTGATCATAACACAATCTCACACCTAACCGATCAAGCTCAACTTGTTTTCATAATATTGATTTCAAATTATTGTGGCTCAACTTGTCTTCCTAATATATCCACTTGAACGTATCGTTATTTATTCCAACTTTAATGATATTGGCCCAATAGCTTTGAATTTACTACCCAACAATAATAATTACTCCGTAATAAATTTTAAAAATCATATCAAAAGATTTTACAATCAATAAAAATAAAATTATGGTGACGAAAAGTCGCAGTGGGTCCACCGATTTTGAAACGTAGTCCCCAGTTGTACGTGACGGAAAGTAAGATGTGAAAGTCAAGTCAACATAACCATCCTCTATGCTATGTTATTTTATTTTGTTCAATTAATTCACATTATATTACAAAATTTGTTCAATCAACCAGTCCACATTGAAAAAATAAATCCGAAATTTTGAAAAGAAATAGGGGGGGGGGAGGTAACGGCCAAAGAGGCAAAAGCACGTGGACCATGAACAAAAAATCAAACCAAAATTTTAAAAGCACTAATCTAAACTTAAAAAATCAAATTACTAATATAAGATAAAAAAAAAAATCCATGAACCAAACGCATTCTTATTCATTACTAAACTAATACGGAGTATATTGTAGCGTTTGACATACTTAAGAAAATTCTCTGTGTCAATTCACGGCAGACTTAACCAATACTGTGTTGACAATAATCAGATTTGTGACTTTCGCTTAAGCTGATATACTCATGTTACATCAACTTAGTGACTCTTTTCAGAATACAAGTGTCGTTATTTTCAAAATGATGTTATAATTATGCTCTCACGTTTAAATATACATTATATACACAACAATTTGAGTAAACAAAATAAATAAATAAATAAATGCAGTAGTTCTTGTTGTTTAGACTTCAGAATTCAAATACGTTTTAGCCACCTCTTTTGATTAATAGTGCCGTCTAATCATTGACATTACTTACACCGCTTTAGCCTTTAAGTTAGTTTAATGTGATATTATTATTAATTAATTTCAACATCTAGAAAAAAATAATAAAGGACCATATAGTCCATAAATAAGTTAGTTTTCAAATTCTGTAGGGACGATATTGACGCATATAAAATATGGGTGTCCAACTTTGAAACATAACTAACCTGTTTAATTTTTTTTAGATCGAACTAACCTGTTTAATTGATTTCACATTAATGGGTTTATTTTACATATTGGTAAAACTTTCAAAATATTTGTTGCTTAAGTTTGCCGACGCAACATGTCACATTTAATTATTGAGTCTGATTATTTAAATTTTTGCACAAACTTTAATTCCTCTACTTTAGACCTCTCGTATGTTGGTTTGATTTAAAGCATTGTCAGTCGATTGCTATAGGCTTTGGGGACACTGTTGTCCGTCATGTCAAAAGGTCAGCGAACCAGGTAGCTCATGTGCTTGCATGGACAATTATTTCTTCTTCTATCTTTAGTTCGTGGGATTATATCCCTCCCAGTTGTATTGCGATTTTGCTTTGATTAATGAAATTACTTTGGTTATCCAAAAAAAAGTTTGCCGACGCAACACAAAACAAGACATTTATTATACATTTAAACAATAGTTTGGATTTGAGTTTACGTTAAGCAACTTGCATATGCATTTAAGAGTTATAACCTTTTAAAAAATGTGTTGTACTAACGTTCAAGATTTAAGTTTGTCTCTACGTGAGAATTTTTTATTGATATTTTTATTGTGAGTAGATCTGCTATGAGCAATCTAGATTGATTTATCTTCTTAAAATTCTTTGTTAGCTAGGGTTATAAGACAATTTTCACTCAGAGCATGCTTTCAAGTAACGATTGCGAGCATGAGGTCAACCCTAATTATATAGTCAAGTAATTAGTTTAGTGATTTTACAATGTTCCAATTTTAATTATATTTGGGAGATACTTATTAGATGGGCAATAACGGCACAAAACACCCAATTTACGAAATTTTTTGTAAATCAAGAGTTTGATTGGGAGGGGGGCTACAAGTTGTTAAATTGTCGCTTTCGCACGTACCAAACTTTAATTGGAGCAAAGAAACGTTATGACCCACAAATAATTGACAAAAAAAAAAAAAATTAAAAGAAGGAAAAACCCGGCAAGGCTATTGATTATCTTCTCTCAAATGTAGTTTGCATGGACAGTTTAATTGATCACATGGATAAAGTTTAAAAATAATGATTCAGAATAAAATTTCACCAACGATAATATAGGAGTAATCTCTTAAAGTAAGAAAATTCCTTATATGCAATTAATAAAGATCTAATCACCATAATTTACATCTTTTTAAATACTTTGTCGAGCCGAGCTGGACGTGAGTAACCTTGAGGTTGGGAACAATCTTTCTCCCAAATGTATTTGCGGTGAGGCTATTGATTATCTGTCTTGACTGGTTGATCAATGATTTTGACTTTTCCCAATTTTTACATGGGTGTGGGCCACATTGCATGTGTTAGAGTTTTAATTGACGGGCCCATACGGACCATTTAGTCTCCATTTTATTCCCACATGTTTGCTAATCAACATTTAAAAACATACACTTTCCATGTTACCTATTCCCCAATCCAATTAAGAATCACGTTCGTTAACAACAGTTGAAAGACTTTAGACTTTTCCGTAACTCAAAGTACACAAAACATACAACAATTGATAATACTATGATTTGGGAAGAGGTTCCCCTCTCAAGAATGATCTCAGAAGCTGCAATGCTGCTCTGGGCTTAAACAATGGCACTTCATGTCCAGCTCCTCGTACCGTCGCGAACGTTAGCCCTTTGTATACCTCGGACCATCCTCCAACCTTATTTCAAATCAACAAAAACTTTCAAACTTCTGGAACTTTTATTCGAGACAGAATACATATTTTAGAAAAAAACATACATCTAGACGTACTGACCTGATTTTTGACATACCAAGGATACCACGGAGTTGTGACAGACAACTTAAGCTGCGCTAGAGAGTAACGTGTTGCTGTCACTGGCACTACCGAATCTACATCGCCACTGCAATTAAACCATTTAAATGAACATGCGAAGATACAATTGACAGATACATTTTATCTTCTCATTAATATGATATTTAAGGTTACCTGAAAACCCAGATTCTCAGACCGGCGGCGATTAGCTCCCGGTAAATTGGGAGGATTGAATCGTCGGTGTCATTCCAATTCCGGTTTAATGTTTCACTGTAATGAAATGGGCATATGGTTTATATCAGCCATGATAATAATACTAAGATTAAGGTTAGTTACAGGTTTCACTTTTCGTGGAAATGACCTATTTATATTCTTGATTTGAACTGATCACTATAAATAACTTATACTAGCCCGATCCTTTACTGGCTAGGGTTATGAGACCAGATTTACTCAATACACATCAAGTAGTAACTGCGAATTTTCCAAAAAAGAAAAAAGATTATTTGGATGAGAGGTTTGAATGGATTATATTAATGAAGATTACCTGCAGGCTGTCCATTTGTATGGGATTCTTGTGGTGTTAGCGTGCATGGCTTTCTGGACATCGGGTCGGTTGTAGTAAATTTCAGCGTATTTTTCAGTGCAGGGATCGTAGCCGGACAAGGGGCGGAATGCGCGGCGGGGTTGGTGGGGAAGGCGCATGTGGTGGCGGGTGGAGCCGTCGGAGTTGTTACACGGCGGCGCGTAGATGTTGTACTGGTCGATGTTCCCGAACTCCTGGTCCATGGCGTAGTAGTAGAGCGACTCGCACTCGTTGGACTCTTTCTGTTGCCGGAAGTTGCACGTGTTCACCAGCTGCCGGTAAGTCTTGTCGGAGATCATGGCGTGGCTCCACCAGTACGTCACCGTTCCCAGGTTGTCGTGGTAGTTGTCGGTAACTGCGTTCCCCACCTGCCATCATCGTTCGTTCATATCCTTAAATAACATCAATTAAAAACCGGATTTCAAGGAAGGAAATTAAAATCATCGCATTTTGGATTACCATGAACCCTTTAATCTTGATCGGATTCTTGGAATGCGCGTTATAGTGCACAATCTCTCTGGCGAGCTGAGGAACATAATGCCCGGCGTAGCTCTCGCCGGTCAGATACACATCCCGGCCTTTGTACGACGGGAATCGGTCCATCCATCTTATTAGAAACTGCAACGAGTCCTTTGCTGAAACAATTCCATATCCTCATTACACTAAATTTTTTGACATATAACCAACAAAAAAACATTGGATAATAATCATTAAACACGAGATTTAATTAATGTAATGCCAGCTAAATTGGTGGTCTATTAGTTTTTTTTAGTTTATGTCGTGGCTCACCTATGAATAATCTTAGATTGATTTACCTTTTTTTTTGTGGTATTTTGTCGAAAAGAGTGACAATACGAATATTATCCCATAACCCAAATTGGCATAGTTCAAAACTAAAAAAAAGAAAGAAAAGAAAGAAAAAAAAAAAAGAAAGATGCATGAATAAGTGAAACATATTATCTTGTTAGTGCAGTTTATTTTTCGTGATTCATGAATTATGTGACATTAGAGGATAAAAAAAAAAAAACTTACTATTTCTTGTGTATTATAAATTGAATTTTACTACATGGACTCCCAAATCTTAATAACTAAATTTTTTGCTCTGATGTGATGGACACTAATAAGATATGTGTCGTATGTGCAAATATGAGTATATATATAAATAATATTTTGCTTATAAATTATGGATAGGAAGGATAGCCATGATTGATGTAGGAAAGTCAAATCGGGTACCATGCACCGTCCGTTCGATCAAGATTAGGACTTTGGATGGCATCATAAATGGATAGTCATACAAGAACACAAAAAATCTAGGACCTACTAGGATGCTACAAAAATACACAATTCAATTAAAACTTAAACCGTACCAACAATTATAACAAACAGACAAAATATGAAGATAAATAGGGGTTGCGATGGGGTCATGATTACAACTATAATTTGACCAAACATTTTTAATCATTTATTATCAATCATCATATTATATCAAAGCAATATAATTAGGATAATTGAGTTAAGTACCAGTGCGATGATCTCCGGTGTCGAGGAGATCAGAAGATCGGTTAGTATAAGAGAAACCGACACCGGCCGGGGTTTCGAGGAAGAGCAAGTTGACCTCCGTATTCCATGAGAATTTGTTGAGGTAAAGCCCAGAGGCGGTTTTGTTTATCCTAAACGGTCCGATTTCTTCGGATGCACCGTAGGCCACGGAGGAGCAACCCGGACCTGATATTTTTGGTAAAGAACAAAGAAACATCAGTGTAACGTTAAATTATACAATTAGATTCTACACCAAACAAGGTCCCACACAGGAATCTCTGCTCATAATCAGACGGCTGAGATCAGCTCTTGTGGATTGATCTCATCCAAATCTTGACCAATATTCTCATTTCCATTTTATATGCACAATTCCATAATAACCAATACTATACATTAAGTCTAGTACCGTCCTATTTCAATCCATGTTAGTGCAAGCAAATTATGAAATAATATCCGTATCTCCACTACTAGCTTTTCACTTTTGGAGGCAAATTCTTATAAAGATTGTAGGATATAGTTAGCTTGGTAATTACATAATTTTATATTTAACTGTTTACTGAAACTTCTTATTAACTTGGTTTGAGCCCGTTATAGTTATGACAATTTAAACTGGTTTATATCTTATTTGGAGAATAGACTTAACACGATAATTCAAATGCAAATCATTCTATTCAAAAAAAGGTTGAAAGCGAAACTTGTCTAACTTAGGGACTATACCCTATAAAGTTTAGGAGTGAAATGAGACATTATAGTATTGGTTTAGTTTGGTTGGTAAGAGGGGGACTTAAGGTTGTAATGAGGGTGATGAGGCACACAAAATAAATGTGAGAGGTAATGGTTTTTGAAAGTGGGGAGGTAGTTGAATTGGTTTAAAGCATTCATTTTCTCTGGCAATTGCATGTAAAATATAAATGCATAGCGAATGAGAGAGAGAGAAGTAGAAAAAGTGTAATCTTTTTATTATTATTATTATTATTCTTATTATTATATATATATATATATATATATATATATATATATATATTTCTTTTGCAGTTGTAGGCTGGGGTCATGAGAGTTGGAACGTATTCATGAGGTTTGTAATTGGCCCATCGGTAGTTAGGTCAGGACTCAGGACTCATGATTCTGTCTTTCTAGGAAAGGCCAGCTCGTACTGTTGTTAGCACAGCTACACACCCCCCACCCCCCCCCCCCTCCAACTGTTCTTTACCCACTACTCGTCACATAATAATTCCCGATATACAATTCAATTGGCTGATCAATGTAAAATAGCATTGATGATTTACTGACAATAATTATTAATAAATTAAAAGTTTGATTCATAGGAACAGTCTATGTTGATTTTCTTTTTGAATTGATCAACTATTGATAATCTATGCAGATTTATATATTTATGATCAGTGGACTAAAATTAAAAGACAGAATTTATCCAGTATACACTGCACCATTGTGACAGCAAGTATATTAAGAAAATCTCATTATTATATATATATGTATCATGCAGGGCTAAAAAGCTGGGTTGGGAGGTGAGAGATGAATGAACAGTAGAGCTAAATAAGAAGCTTGATTATTATATATATTGATGGTTTAATGGGAAGGAAAAGAAGAGAAACATATAACAGTTTAAAGATCTGATCTGACCTCCATTGAGCCAAACGACGAGCGGTTTGGACAGGGGCTGAGACTGGGCTTCCGTCAGCCAGTAAAACAGCGCGCGGCCGGCGGTTTCGTCGACGGTGACGTACCCGGAGTACTGCCGGAACGCCACCTTGGGCTGTCCGGGGAGCGACACTATCCTGTCCGCTTCGGCGGTGGCGGCGGCAGCTCTGCCGCCGGTAATATGGAGGAGGAGGAGTAGAGCAGTGACGACGGAAAGACGATACATAAGAGACGGCATGGAAGGCGGAGGTGTTGTCCCTACGGCGGCCATGGGTTTCATGGCGAATTAAAGAATTGAAACGCAGTAGTTAGGTTGGTGCAAGCTGGCTGGGGGATACTGTCTTTACTCCCTTGTTGTCTGTGAACTGTGTATATATAGCCGCTAGCTGCCTGGCTTATAAATTATAATGGTCAGCTTGGTTTTAATAGGAGAGAGATAGAGAGAGAGAATATTATAAATAATCTTTGAGTTAATACCCAAAATTGTTCTCGACTATAGTGATTTTTCTTAATTTCATCCTAAACGATTTTGGTGACCTAATATAGTCCCAGACTTTTGTGTTTCGCTCAATTTAGTCTTCCATTTGTTATTTCGTCAAATTGGTGTTAAATAAAGGGATAATTCAATAATATCAATATTGACCTCTCTTTACTTTCAACCTGCGAAGTGAGAAATCTCTCTTTCTTACACGAATTACACCCAGAGTTACTCTTAGACCTACGAATCAAATTTTATATTCGCAACTTTAGAAGTGATTTTGCGAGTAATTCGTAAAAAATGAGAGATTTCGCACTTCACATGTCTATGAATAAAGAGATGCCAATATTAAAATTACTGAACTGTCTATTTATTTAACAACAAATGGACGGAATAACAAATGGGGGACTAAATTGAGCAAAAACACAAAAGTCTAGAACGAAATTGAGTAAAAACACAAAACTCTGGGACTACATTAAGTCACTAAAATCGTTTAGGACAAAATTAAGAAAAATCACTATAATCGAAGACAATTTTGGGTATTAACTCAATAATCTTTGATTTTTTGGGTTTATTGAATATTTATTTCATCAAATTCATCAAAATTTAATGGATTTTTTTTTTAAAATATCCAAAGCAAAGGGACGCACTGATCGAAAAAATAACTAGACTAAGCATTAAGATGCCAATGCAAATTATCCTAAACCAAGAGACACTCATTTCACCATTCATCAATATCCATTGAATAACCTAGTTCGTTTAATTCTTATTAACACTTTTCCGATCGAGTCTATCATACATGACTTTTGTAGTGTGATTTACAGATTATTACACATGAACAGAATTTATTCAGTACACACCTTCGGTTAGTGACACTACATGTGAACTCCATTGTGGGATCACTGCTGGAAATTATGAAATTTTCGACCACCTGAAATTGATCTTAAATCAAGTCGAAAGTCTTGTTCCGACCACTTTTGGTATCCGAAAAAACCTTTGTTGCTATTTCTGACCACTTTTTACTTTCGACTTGATTTAAGATCACTTTCAGGTGGTCAGAAATTCCATAATTTCCAGTAGTGAATGTTGGGAGGATACTAGCACCTAGTCAGTCGACCTTGAGGTGGCCGATCGGTTCAAGCTATGGGAGACCGCTTGGAACACTTGCCCTCAACTTGGACTCGAGGGTGATAGAAGTGTCGCGGAGAATGCGTATAAAAAGAGATGGGTCGTCGAGATTTGGAAGTGCACACCTAAACCGTTTTAGGGAATTTGTTACCTAATTCATGCTATTTTTCTATTGTATTTTCAGAATGTAATTCGACTTAGAAAAGTGGGTTGGGTCAAATTTGTAAGGGATCTTATATTTTGTTTTAAGTTGAGTACTCGTGTATAAATACTCATTCTAATGGGATAAAAAGAGATTCCCGAAATTCAAAGAGCTTTAGGCAATTAATGTCGACATTATTGCTTCGAGTTTTCGTTGCGGTCATGTTGTTCTTTCGTACGATTGTATTGGCCAGCCGTCGATTAGTCTGAAGTCATAACAGGATTAATTCAAATTTTGTTTAAATTGTGCTCCCAAAGTTTGACTATTATTATAAAAAAAAAAACAAAAAAAAAAAAAAAAACAAAAACAAAAAGTGATGCATCGTTTACAAAGTTTGAAGGTTAATAGTTTAATTTGTTTACACACTACCTATGTTTTTGGGTTAAGTAAATTTAATTTGGTTTTATATATTGGCAGGCAATATGTGATATAGATCAGGAAAGAGCACACGACCTGCTCACTAGCTATCTTTTTGTTTTATTTGTTGAGCATTTCAAGGTTGATGTCCATTTGCATGTTTGTTCATGTTAGTGAATTTAACACGTCCAGCTAAACTAATCAAAATTTTAAATATTTCATGATATATGTTGGATTTAATTAACTTGGGATAACCCGTATTATTAAACTCGGATAAGAATGTAAATATAAGATAAATAATAAATGGACGAAACGATATCGTAACGGGCCGTGAAGACCGTATATTACATTAAATGTCGTGAATAGGCTATTACAATGCTTGCTTTAGTACAAAGTATATGAGATAGTGATAAGATAATGATAGAGTGTCCTAAAGAGACAAGCTAAGGTGGGGGATTTTTATACAAACCCCCACCCCTAAGTCGGGGGTGGTTGGATCTGCGTTGACCGGGTCCAGTTGACTGATTCTCGGGTCGGCCCTTTTTATGGCCGACCCCGTTTATGGCTGACCCCATCTATGGTCGACCCCATTTACGGTCGACCCCTTTGGGGTCGGCACCTGCTCCTGGCCGAGGCACCGGATCTTGCTCCACCACTCCGGATCGATTTGCTCCGGTCATAATATATCCATTAATATATTTATATATAAGTTACGTTTTTTAAGTTTATTATTCTATATTATCTTAGATAGATTCAATAAAGTCACTCTCATGCTCATAAAAAAAAAAGTAAATTGATCAATGCATAAGAGGGTCTGTGCAATGAAATTGGGTATGTGCTTTAAACACAACGTATAATTATGAACTTTACCATGTCAAAAAATTAATTATACTTTTTGGAATAGTTTGTTAAAAGATATAACAAAGAGATCGAATTATGATTTCATTAATCACAAAACAGATATCACAATACCTTTATGTACACACAACAAAAAATATATTTTTATATTATTTAATTTAATTTTTAATATAAAGTTATAAAATTTGTCTTTATTACTTTTGATATAACTATTTTCATAGCTATTTTTAGGATGAGGTTAAAAAATTGCGGGAATCTTCCATTATTTCCTGTGTCTCTTGATTGATGATTGGCAGACAATTTCTTTATAAAAATATTATTTGGATTTTCTTATCCCTTGCGGATAAGAACGAAATAGAAGTCAGGGGGAATAGCCTTTTAATTTGTCTTCACTCCTCTCCTCTATTCTGTTTTCTACCATCCATATGACCATATCTGTGTAATAATAATATGTATGTATGTTACATTGCATAAAGAAAACATGCCACCACCTAATAATAATAATAATAACTTATCCCCTAAATTTTAATTTTGTCACCGGCGATTGTTGCTGAAAAATGGTGGAAGGGTGATCAGAACCCTAAGTAGCCTGTAATTACATGTCACTATTTGATTTTTGAGCTTCAATGTTTTAAAATTACATATTTATGGGTTTAATTGTAACGATCGAAAGTTTAAGGCTTAATTGACATTTTGAGTAAAGTTTATATGCTTATTTGACTATTTTCTCGTAAAATAATTAGAGAACAAATTTTAACCAAATTGGTAGGACGATTAATTTAGTAACTGTCTAATTGTCCAGGTTCACAAACCCATCAATAATCAAAGCAATAAAAGGATTATAATACCTGCATGAGCAGCTTAACTGGTCATAGGGGTGAAGTTTGGGAAGAATGACCAGGGATCAAGTACTGTGTTTGATTGACATATTTACCACTCAAGAATGGGTATAAAAGTGATTATTATTGTTTGGTTGAGTGGTTTTTAAAACACTATTATGAGTTTGAAATACCAAAATAAAACTTAGTCCCTTATTTTATAAGGATTTCATTCCAAAAAACCTATTCCCTTATTTTATAAGAGTTTTATCCCCAGATTTTTAGTCCATTACTCATCAAACTGCAATATTGATAATCATTTACATTCCACCCTACTACCAAAGATGTTAAATATTTTCACCAAAACCCATAATTATTAACCAAATATTTAATTCTCATTCCAATTTCGAACCACATGTGCGAACCAAACATACCCTAAATTTCAATTTGTTGACTGCAATTTGGTAGAGGAACAGAGGAGATACTATACATTTGATGATATGATTTGGCGGATCGCTTGGAACTCACGTCTTGTCCAAAAGATTGAATCTCTCTCTCTGACTAATCCCCAGCACGTACATACACTGTATATATCATCCATGCATCCACCCACACGTAACCATTAATGTCAACTGTACGTGTACTGGCCGGGAAATGAGATCAAAGTTTGAGCTCTATACTGCAATGAAGGGGAGGCCCCTCGTGGGGAGTTATTATATTCATCTCTCTCAGCTGCCTCCATTGACTCACTGCTAGCTTCGTAAATTGTTATTAAGCTTTATTTGGCTTTCACTGTTGCATTTCTTGCTTTTATTTTGTACGTACATCACGCATTGGTTTCAGCAGTCCTTTCTAAGTGTATCTGCTTTCTAGTTTTCATCCATGGTCTGTATGTATATATAGTATAGTTGCAAGGGCCATCTTGGTAAATCGTGTTTTTTTTTTTTTTTTTTTTTTTTTTTGTATAGATATAATGGATCAAGAACGTGTTTGACGACTATATAGTATCGGTTTGTCTGTTTTAACCTCGTAAATATATTGATAATATAATTGTCTACCTAGCCCATGTCGTTCAATTCGACTATCCCATTTACCTATAACTGAGCACCTCAAGCCAAGTTGAGCATTGCACACAACCTCAACTACTTGTCATTTGCATTGGCATTTGGCCACACACCTATTTAGTTCTCCCTAGACAATTGTTACATAGCTTAGCTAGACAATTGGCCAAACACCTAGATAAATATCTCCTTGTCTCTATGTCCATTCATGTGTTACATCTAGGCTTTTAATTTGTCCACTGCAAGTTATATCACAATTTACAAACTAAGAGTAATCTTGTTAGAGGTTTTTGTGAAATTTTTGCAAAATCAAAAATTTGAGGAGATGGTGTTTAGCTAATGGAAAAATATGATTTTTGCACAATTTTTCCTTATGCAAGTATTGGTTTTTTTGAGGAAAAATAAAAAAAAATAAAAAGAGAAGAAGGAGAAGAAGATGTGCACTTGTAAGCTTGTAGCACACGCCTCAACCCAATGGTCGCTCTTTTTCTTTCTTTAAAAAAAAAAGTTGTTTATGTTTAAATTTAATTTTGTTGTTAAAATTTTAAAAATTTATGCAATATAAATGTAGTATATACTTTTGATACTATATTATATGAATTGAACTTTTGTAATTATAAATTTATTTTAATTTTGACAATGAGAATCAAACTCATAACCTTTTATTTTTTTTTGAAATTTCATAACCTTTTATTTAAGAGAGCTACTTCGTGCCACTAGACAACAAGATTATATTATTGACTTAACATATTTCATTTAAATATAATAAATATAATAATTTTAATTATAATTTTTATAAAAATAATAAAAAAATAATTAAAATATAATAGAGTAAAAATGATGGGTCCACAAAAAACTAAAAACTAAGACTAAAATTAATGGGGAGAAGGGTTTTTGAAATTGAGTGAAATAGTGAACGTTGGGACATACAAAAATTAGTATAAAAAATCTCACTAATGAGGTTGTTCTAAGATTTACCTTACATTGTGGACCCGCCATAAATGAAATTAAGATTACTACATTATTATGTCTAAAAGGACATAATGCAGGGATTCTTTACTAGGTAAAAATCTTTAACTTCTTTCAAACATTTTCAATCTAAAGAATCTAAGTTTCTCCACTGAGGCTCAATCTCATGACCTCCCATATGAAAAAGCCACTATATGCCATCTGAGCATAAGATGCTTGACAATTAAATGATGAATTTAATTAATCCCAACATATAATCATCTCTAAGCCCAGTTGGAAAGCTTGTACTAAATAAATAAGGCAAATTATGTTGTGCATCGTATGCACCATGCATGGTGCATACAGATGTAAAAACGATGTCGTTTTATTAAAAACGCGCGTCTTACTTAAAAAATATAAATTCAGTTTCGATTCCCAGCAACAACATTATATTGTGCATAATTTGAACTAAAATTTCAGAATCGATGAACTAAAATTCCAGAATCTATGAACTACAATTCTAGAATGAATGAACTAAAAATCCATAATGAATGAACTAAATATCCAGCATGAATGAAAAAAATCAGTTTCGATTCACGTCTAAATATCCATAATCAACGAACTAAAATTCCAGAATCTATGAACATAATGCTGTTGAGTGGAATCGAAACTGATTTTTTTTAAGTACAATGCGCATTTTTAATAAAATAACGTCGTTTTTGCATTCGTATGCACCATGCATGGTGGTGCATACGGATGCACAGCATAACGATCCAATAAATAAACTCTGGATTTGGGTCTGCATTTTGTAAAGAAAATGAATAAAGTAAAAGAGAGTCCATATATAGGCCCACGAACAATTGGACCAATGGGCAAATTATGCACCAAGCATGGTGCATACGGATACAAAAACGACGTCGTTTTTATAAAACGCGCGTCTCCGCTTAAAAAAAAAATTAGGTTCGAAACTATAATTCCATAATCGATGAACTATAATTCCATAATCTAATCTATGAACTAAAATTTTCAGAATGAATGAACTAAAATTCCAGAATCTATGAACTAAAATTTCAGAATCGATGAACTATAATTCCAGAATCGATGAACTATAGTTCCATAATCGATGAACTATAATTCCATAATCCATGAACTAAAATTCCATAATGAATGAACAAAATAATGTTGTTACTATGAATCGAACCTGAATTTTTTTTTTAAAGGGAGACGCGCGTTTTTAATAAAACGACGTCGTTTTTGCATCTGATGGTACATACAGATGCACAGCATAACTATTCGGACCAATGATAACATCTGGCAATCGCCGTCCGATTTAACGGCGTGGCAAGACAGCGACGATCATCTAGACATTTTCCCATTATTTAATTCCACCAACGCCCCATTTAATCGACCGTTGAACCCCCAACGGTCGTCTTTCAAAGATTCTTCCCTCTCCATTATTCACTCTTCAGACTTCTCTGCTATATATAAATCTGCACTAATCTCTCTCCCACATTAACTCTCCCACTGTATTGAAACTGATTACACAATGGAGATGACGCAAGAATCGCCGGTTCAGAAAGAAAACGCCGCCCCTAAGCAGCCGGCACTTCCGCCGGTTCAGAATGAAAACGCCGCTGCGAAGCAGCCGGCACTTCCGCCGGTTCATAATGAAAACACCGCCCAGAAGCAGCAGACATTGCCGCCGCCGCTTACCAAGCCGAGCTTATGCAGCAAAACCACCATTCCTGATCGTCTCAAGGTTCCCAAGGCATTCAAATACCCTGAAAGGTAATAGTAAACTTTAACTAATGTTGCAGAAGGTGCTATAGGCTAGTCGGGCGCTCGAGACTGAGTAATCTAAGTATATCGTCTCTACTTTTTTCAATGACGTTATTATATTGTTATAATTTTCAAACTAGTTAACGGCATATAATAGATGGTTAATTGAGTACATGAAGTAGACTAAAAAAAAAATTAGCTGGACCATGTTAAGCACTCAACTCGTCTTGTGATCTGACAAATCTAGTGAAACCTGTCTATGCTATTCATAACTGACTCATTCAAGGTCAAAAAATAATTATGGCTAGAATTCAAATTTGTAATATAATGATTACTAATCTGATCAACTTGATTGGGTTTGCATCGGGATTTCTTTTAATCCATGGTGTTGGTTGATCTAAGGTTGTTATAAGATGATGTTTGATTGATCTGAGGTTGTATGATAACAGGTACACAAGTCCAACTGATCAAATGATGTCCCCTGTTTCCAAGCGACTCTTCGGCAACGGAAGAACCAGAAAGCCAGCCACCGCCGCCGTCGCCGCTGCCGCCACCGCGCCATTGCCTCCTTCCGGCAACCCTCCGAAGCCCGTCAAGATTCAACCCCAAACGCTGTCGTCTTCTCCAAACTTGATATCGATAGACACTTAGCTTTAACACACACAGTGTATCACTGTGCTCTGAACAAAATATTTCTATTTTTGTTTTCTGAAAAATATATGTATGTCGGAATCAACGGTTGTTATAACGATAACATTTTTGCTTTTCCAAGAATAACTAACACGTTTCCGGTGCAAACAAATGAGCTATGGGCCTAAATAGCCGCTAAGCCATTCTTCAAATGTACCAAAAAAACAAAACCCTAAATCACTTTTTTTTGTTTGTTTTACTTTTTAATTTTTTATGATTAATGACCTAGCTAAAAACAAAAAGCCTAAAATCTCCTAATTTATATTCATAATAATATTAAAAATAATAAGAACAATAATTTCTTCTGCAGATCTTGAATTCTTCACGTTCTACAGCACCCACCCCAATTTTTGATAGAAGATTCAAGGGTTTGGCTATGAATGTTAGGTATGTTAAATTTTCTTGAAATTTCCTGTATATTTCTTGCCTTAAAACAATTTATATTGATTGCCTTATCATGGTGTTTGGTTCCAGTAATGAACACCAATTAAGATGTTGAAGGAATGGATAGTTGTTCCCATGCATGATGATATTGGTTGTTTTGTTATAAACATAGGGGGTGTTTGATAAATAGCTGTTAGCTGATTGAGATAGTGGCTTTAACTAGTTGATATCAATAGGTGATTGTAGAAAAGTGTTTGATAAATTAGTTTCTTAAAAAGCTGATCGAAAAAACTATTTTTCGATACTGCTTGTTTATTCAAGTCAAACAGCTAATAGTGATCAAATAAACTAAAATTAACTGATAAACTAACTATGTTACCAAACAGGACCTTAAACGTAAAGGGGAACATATTTCGTTTTCGTTTTTGTTTATGTCTATGATTATATTTATGTTTGTAATTTATGCATATCTGCAAAATTTAATGGGAACAAAAGGATGTCAAATTGTTGCTATGTTAGTGTTGGTGCTCTGCCTTTATTTCATTTTGCAAGAAGAAAGGAATTTATGCAGATTTAGTTCATTGGAAAGAGATAACAGATGTTCTAAAAGGTTAATTAATCATTTAGGACCTTTCGGTTCACGGAATGTTAGATTATCTTAGAGAATGTTAGATTGCTCGAAATGTTAGATTACCTTAGGGAATGTTAAATTCCTGTGTTTGGTTAAAATTGAGGTATGTAATATAATCATGTTTGGTTTAAGGCCGGTTATCTTTTTTATATATACACTATAATATATCCTCAACATATTTTCATATATTTTTATAAATTTAAAAATTAAAATAAATAAATAAAATAACGGTATCATATATAATTACATAACGTAATAAAAATAAAAAAATATATAATTACAAAAATGATTATATAATAATAATAATAAGTTAACATACAATATATATTTTTAAATAATTAAAATTAAAATGACAATTTATAAAGGAATAAAGTTTAAATTGGTCACTGAACGTAACCTAAAAATGCAATTAGGCACTTGAACGAAAAAAAAAAAAAAAGAAGAAGTGCAATTAGGTCACTGGACACTCCAAATGTATGCAATTTCACCAGATAGCAGGTTACCATCAATTTTAGCAAGTTACCTGCTTATGTGGCAGCTGAGTTGGCATTTTTAATAATTTTTAAATAATATTTAATAATAAAAAATTATTAAAAATGCCAACTCAGCTGCCACGTAAGCAGGTAACCTACTAAAATCGATGGTAACCTGCTATCTGGTGAAATTGCATACATTTGGAGTGTTCAGTGACCTAATTGCACGTTTTTTGAGTGTTCAGTGGCCTAATTGCACCTTTTTTTTTTTTTTTTTCGTTCAGTGGCCTAATTGCATTTTCAGGTTACGTTCAGTGGCTAATTTGAACCTTATTCCATTTATAAATATTCAAGGTTATCTTACATTACCAAAGAAAATGAAGGGAATCACGTTCCCTTCAAAATCCTATGTGGAGGGAATGTTTCATTCCCTGGGAATGTTATATTCCCTCAAATAATATGAACCAAACATATGAATGCAAGCTCTGGAATGTTACAATCCCTTGGTTATGTAATATAACCTGAACCAAACGCCCCCCCTTAAGAATGACAAAGAGAGCTCTGGTTAATTAATCATTTGGTTTGGTTAAAAGTTTGGTAATTATAAGGTTTTAATCAACGACTTATTCTTGTTTCTAGAAAGATATTAGGACCAGCTAACATGTTTGAATTGTAAAAAGAAATAAAATAGGGGACTAAATTTTAATTTAAAATACAGTTTTGACTCATCAAAATCTAATTACATTTTATTCCTAACAAAAAAGTATATATGGAGCCAAAATTAAAAATATGAAAATAATACAATCAAACATAAATACTACACAAATACACAGGCACCTACCCAAATATTAGTAAAACAAATTAACTTTAGGTGGTTATGTATACAAAAATAGTTCCTACATTAATTTCTTTTACATTATTTTGTCAAATTATTCCCAACAACCTAACAGCTCCTCTACCAACATAACATTTTTGCTTTTCCCAGAAAAACTAACACGTTTCCGGTTCATCAAACCGGGTTGGCTTTGAATGTTAGGTATGTTAAATTTTCTTGAAATTTGCAGTATATATTTCATGCATTAAACAATTTATATTGATTGTGTTACCCTGGTGTTTGGTTCCAGAAATGAACACCAATTAAGATGTTGAAGGAATGATTGTTGTTCCATATTGGTTATTTTGTTATGAACATAAACGTAAACGCAGGAACATATTTTGTTTTTTTGTTTTTTTTTTTTGTTTTGTTTATGTCTTTGTATATATTTATGTTTATGTTTGTAATTTATGCATATCTGCAAAATTTCATGGGAAGCAAAGGATGTCAAATTGTTGCACTCTCGGGGTGAGACTAGTTCAATTGAGTCTAGATGGATTTGTTTATTTTTCCTATTGCGTATTGCTGGGAATTATGAAATTTTCCACCACCTGAAAGTGATCTTAAATTAAGTTGAAAGTCTTGTTCCGATCTCTTTTGGTATCCGGAAAAACCTTTGTTGTTATTTCCTGCCACTTTTTGCTTTCGACTTTGATTTAAAATAATTTTAAGTGCTCAGGAATATCATAATTTCCAGCAGTATTGTACTGGTGTGAGACTAATTCAATTGAGTCTCGATTGGATTTGATTATTTTTGTGTTGTAGTGGTGTTTTTCATTTACGGGGGTGGGACTAATTTAATTGAGTTTCGATTGAGTTAGGTTATTTTTCGTGTTTATATTTGTATTTGTAGTTGCGAAATTGACTAATCCAATTGAGTCTCGATGGAATTTTGCAGGAAAGAGCAAGTAATCTAAGACAATTGAGAAGACTTGGGGATAAATGGGGGAAGAGCAACACCCAAAGACTCTAAAGACTGGGAATGGAGATGTTGAGAAACAACCTGAATCTAGGAACAACGAAAACAATGATAATACTGATCCTACGCTGGATCGTACGACGTCGATTTTCTCCGTAGCGACGTCACCGACGCCGTCGCCGAAGTCGCTGTCGGATGTTTTCGGCAACACGCCGCGGTGGAGCATGATGAGTGGATCTCCCCTCTCTGGCGGATTGGGTTCTCAGCTTTCGTTCCCTGAACGCCCCTCGCCGGGGGCCTCCCCGCTGCAATCTCCGACGTCGGGCTACGACCCGAAGCGCATCCCGTCCTCCATCTTCGCCAGGAAGTCCGGCACGGGCGGCGGGGACTGGAGCGGCGGCTCCAATGAATCCTTGTTCAGCATCCACGTCGGAAATGGGAGCATTTCGAACGGCGGGGAACTCAGTGAGAGAAAGAGCGTCTCCTCCCTTTCTCCTCTTGCGGCGGATAGCGAAGAAGTGAAAGTGTCCGATGCGTCTCAGGTGAAAGGCGTCGTTGATACTCCAAAGCCGAGTTCGGGAAACGCCACTCCGAGTTCTCAACCCGTTTCTCCTTCGCCCGCCAACTCCAACGCTCCTCCGATTGCTACTTTCCAGTCCCCCCGCATGTCTACTGGGAGCGTAAATAGCTGCCAGTCCTTCGCTTTCCCGGTGTAAGCTCCCGTGTATCTATTTCAACTAAAAGTTTAAGAGACAGTCGAAAGTTCAAACGTCTTCTTGTATAAAAAATTCAATCTGACCAGTATTTTGCCTTTGACCAGCAGGGTGCAAATGAGAATTAGTTTGAGTATAGTACCAGCAGGGTAAACTAGATGCGAATTGAGATTAGTTGCTTAAAGGTGTCTTTACAATTAGGGTCTGCTCAAGACACACCAGTTTGACTCTCAACAAGGGATATTAATCTTATTGGTTTGATACAGTTAATGAAAAACCTAGGTTGACTTATGTTTTAATGATAGTCTAGTCTAGAGTTAAAAATAAATTTTATTCCGTAGACATAAGAGAGTAGTAGTTGGAGATTTCAATCTGGCCAGCATTTTGCCCTTTAATTGGACCAGCAGGATGCGAATGGGAATTAGTTATAGTACCAGCCTTTTGTCCCTTAATTGGGTAGGCTAGATGCGAATTGAGATTAGTCTGGTACGGGAGGTGTTTCTAGAGTTGGTGCTTGCTCAGGACACTTGGAAAATAATTTGGTTACCAATTTGACTCTCAATAAGGGATATTAACCTTATTGGTTTGAAAGAGTCAATTGAAAAACCTAGGCTGACTTATGTTTTTATGACAGTCTAGAGTTAAAAATGAATTTTATCCTGTAAACATCATAGAGTAGTAGTTGGAGATTTCACTCGTCATTCATAAAAGTGTGGCATGAAATTGAAGGATAACTTGTTATTGATTGCAGATTAGTGAAGGATGTTAGTAAGAAGCCAGGGGTTCAACCCCAACCGGAACCGCAGTCTCAGTCGGTAACAACGCCGCCACAGCCGGAGGAGGCTACACCGCCGGAAACTCCAAAAGAAACGTCTAAAGCAGCAGAGCCGAGTTGCTTTACATGCTTCTGTTGTTGTTGGCCACGCTGCTGTTGATGTATATAGGCTTTTTTTCTTTCTTTCTTTCTTCTTTTTTCATTATTATTTGTGAGATATTCGTTATGAATTATGCAGAGTATGTTCTCTTGATTGTTAATGGAGACTAGAAAAGTTTAGGGCTTTGTAAACTATTGTAATGTTTTCTTTGGGCAATGCAATATCTATGCATGGTAAATTGCAAAATATTTATATCAGCACATCTATCATTATTGGCAAAACTCCCAAAGTTCATTTATTCAGGAAATCGACTTCTACATTGTTGACCTTTATGAGTTTTTCGGTGCCCTGAGTCTGACATGCACGTGAGCGTTGTGGTCAGCTTAACTTGTGATGGTACATATCTAATCAAAATTACATAACACAATCAAATTTTATTTCTATTTACACATTGTAAAAGAATAGTAAAGCACTAATATAAATATAACCATAGTGAGTATCAGTATTTTCCTACCACTTGACAAACGGTAAAAATAGCAAAGAGCATAAATATTTTCCTATCACATGAGAAAGATAAAAATAACAAACAAAGCACTAATATAAATATAATTACTTAATTAGGTAACGAGTATCAGAGTATGAGTACCATACATAATAGTCTCTATAACAAAAAATTTGGTGCAATAAATTCAATCGAAAAATCACAATAATCAAACTCATACTCTTTACATATGAAAATCATGTTATGCTTATTCGCTCATTATTTTCAAGATGAATTTTTCAAAAAATTTTACTACATGTACTCTCAAATCTTACTTTCTTAAATTTAAGGTCATTTTTTTCATGTAAATTCCTATGAAAGTGTCTAAATCAATATTTTAAATATAAAAGTATAGAATGAGAATACATGTAGTATTTTTCTTTTTCAAGGTATATGAACTCGTCACAGTCCTACACATCTTTGATCCGCCACTCTGTCAGCCAGCACATCCGGGTCGGGTCGCAAAAGCCGGTGGTGGCGGGGTTAGACGTTGACGAGTGATGCATTTATTGACCGGCGTGGTCCCACTTGCTCAGCAAAGTATGCATTGCGGACCCCGCCGTCACTTTCTGTTATTTAGACAATTCAAAAATAAAATAAAATACATTATCACAGTACACAAATAAATACATAAATAAATAAATAAATAGATTCCCTCAAATTCTTTAAAATCGTATTTTACTGGAGATCGAATGATGAATGAATTTGGCTCGGGTTGATAAGATCGATTGAACACGTCATTATTACGCAGAAAATTTTAGATAACAAAGTTAATTTGTATTTTTTGAAGAAAAAATATTTATTTATTTATTTTGGTAATGCTTTTAATTTCATTGAATTTTCAAAAATGGCAACTGATAATATTAGAATTCTTCTCCCAATAATATTAGAATTCTTATCCCAATAATATTAGAATTCTAATATTAGAAATGAATGGCTCAAATGCTTGCTCAATACCGCAATCCAAGCTTTTATGAAAGAAAGCTTAGATAATAAAAGAATGAAAAATTTTACGATGAGTATTGATAAGTATAATAAGGGATAACTCTAAAGGTCCGCACGGGCATAGATCAATGGTTCTGTGGGCAGTATTTGGAAGAAAATATTAATATGGAAATTATGTTCAAGGTTGGCAGATTCTTTGTGTGCACCGACATTTGGCTCTATCTGCTGAATCCCATTGAGTTGATTTACATCCTCTCAAATACTTTGTCAGATTGGAGATTCAACCTATTGGGGAAGGGATCACTCTAAAGTGTGTAAATAATAAAATGAATTTTTTTTTTGAAAGTAAATAATAAAATGAATTAATTAGTCTTTATAATAAATCATTATTTTCACATAAAAGTTAATGCCCCATAATTCCGTAAATGTTTATATTAGATGACTAGTAGTCATTCTTGTTGTCTTACTAGTAATTATTATTATTGTCTTATCGAGTGTGTAGTTTTTCATTACGTTTTCATATTGAGCACACATAATTTATAAATTATAAATATGTAACATAACTATCAGTTTATACTCTTAGTTGCAACAAAACACAATTTTAAATTTGGCATTACAACGAACCTATTTGTGAATGCTCTCATGTGTCTTTGATCTCCTTCTTCTTAGCAGGCAACTATGGTTGTACTTTAGCTCAATTGTTTCAATTTGTTGGTATCAAAGATTCAAACTTATGTGAAAAGTTATGACTGACTTGAATTTCTCGTCATTTTAAAGAAAAAAAAAATTATTGTGCACATATTATTTTGAACTTATCGAAAAGCAAATAATTTATACATATAAATTTTTAATGGAGACGGAATACATATTTCAAATCTTTAAAATAGTTTAAGGTTACAATTTTTGGTAATTTGGTTGATATGCAATTGCAATGACGTGTTTGTTTCTTTTTTGTCTTTGTTCATTGTACGGAAACAATATCACAATTTCCTATATTTATACTCATTAATATTTTTACCAATTTAAAATTTTCCAAAAAAAAAAATGGAATTTTCCAAAAGAAATATCAAAATTTTACACGAAGAAGAAAGGAAAATGGGGGAAAGAGAAAAGCAACGCGTTTTTTCGTCAAAGAACAACGCCTACTGTTCTGTCTGTCTGTCTGTCTCCTCTGTCCTCCCACTCTGATCAAAAGAAGCAAACGAAAATTAGGGTTGGGGTTTGTTGTTGTTTTTTTCCCAGCAAAACCTCAAGTTCTGTACTTCTATATCCAAATCAAAGTTGGGAGAGCACGGGCGTTCGGCTTTTTTTCGAGGACCCTTTTTGGGGTTTGGAAATGGGTCATTGTTCTTTTGTGATCAAATGGTTCCAACTTCACAAGCTTCTAACGCTCATTTTGATCTTCTCCTATGCCGCCTTGGGGTTGGGTTCGGACCAGTCGGCTCTCCTGGAGTTCAAGAGCTCAGTTTCGGACGCTTCTGGAGCTTTGTCGAGCTGGAGCTCAAGCAATTCTCATCATTGTTCGTGGGTGGGAGTTTCCTGCGATTCGAATTCCCGGGTCGTGGCTTTGAATATCAGCGGTGGAGGTAATTCGGGTTCTTTTTATTGTGATAATATTGCTAAATTCCCGCTGTATGGGTTTGGGATTAGGAGGGGTTGCTCGAATAGTAGTGTGAAACTTGTTGGTAAACTATCTTCAGCTATAGCGAAACTCACTGAACTTCGAATTTTATCACTGCCTTTCAATGAATTGAGTGGTGAAATACCTGTGGGTGTTTGGGGTATGGAGAAGCTTGAAGTTTTGGATCTGGAAGGGAATATGATTTCTGGGTTTTTGCCTTCTGAGATTAAAGGTTTGAAGAATTTGAGGGTTCTTAACCTGGGTTTCAACAAGATTGTGGGGAGCATTCCAAATTCTCTATCAACTTGTGTGGGTCTGCAAGTCTTAAATTTGGCCAGGAATCAGGTGAACGGGTCGATTCCAGGTTTCGTTGGTGAATTCAGTGATCTGAGGGGGATTTACTTGTCGTTTAATCTGTTTATTGGACCGATTCCTAGTGAGATCGGGATGAACTGTGAGAACCTCGAGCATCTAGAGCTAGCAGGTAATGGATTAACCGATGTGATTCCAAAAAGTTTAGGGAATTGCAGGCGGTTGAAATCGCTCTTGCTGTATTCTAATATATTGGAAGAGGTTATCCCACCCGAACTTGGTCAATTGAATCAGCTTCAGGTTCTTGATGTGTCGAGGAACAGCCTGAGTGGTGCGATACCTTCTGAGTTGGGAAATTGCACCAAGTTGTCGATTCTTGTGTTGTCAAACACGTGGGATGTTCTTCCCAACGCTTCTTCGGCTGTGAAATCGGCCTCGTCTAGTGATGATTTTAACTTCTATGATGGCACGATCCCTGCAGAGGTTACGAATATTTCTAGTTTGCAGATGGTTTGGGCTCCCCGAGCGATTCTCGAAGGAAAGCTGCTTAGCAGTTGGGGTGACTGCGAGAGTCTGGTGATGGTTAACTTGGCCCAGAATTTCTTCATGGGAGAATTCGGGGAAGCATTCAGTAACTGCAAGAAGCTTCGGTTTCTTGATTTGAGCTTCAATAGGCTGACTGGACCACTTCCCGAAAAACTTCAGGTTCCTTGCATGACCATGTTTGATGTGAGTGGGAATCTTCTTTCCGGTTCTATCCCCAGATTTCCGAACAATACTTGTTCTGGCTTTAATGGAGATCGAATTGAGCTCTATGATGCATCATCTGCCTATCTATTGCTTTTTGCTCGCCGAGCTCTTCAGGATGCCACTTCGTCGTTATTCGAAGACGGTTCTGCCCTTGCGGTGGTTCATAATTTCGGTGGCAACAACTTTACGGGCCAGCTACCCTCAATTCCCATAGCTCGTGAAATGTTAGAAGAGCCAACTGTTTATGCATTTCTTGCTGGTGGTAATAGATTCACTGGACCTTTATCTGAAACCATCTTCGAGAAGTGCCATCAAGTGAAAAGTATGATTATTAATGTGAGCAATAACGGGTTGTATGGTCATATTCCAGCCGATATTGGTTCTAGTTGTGTATCGCTTAAACTTTTGGATGCCTCCAAGAATCAGATTGCGGGGACCATTCCTCCCACTGTCGGGAATCTTGTTTCTCTAGTCTCTCTCAATCTAAGTCGGAATATGTTGCAGGGTCCAATCCCAAGCAATTTCGGGTTAATTAAGGATCTCCGGTATCTCTCTTTAGCTGGAAACAATCTTAGTGGCTATATTCCTACAAGCCTGGGCCAGTTGCACTCTTTGGACTCTCTCGATCTTTCTTCGAATTCTTTGACCGGTGAGATCCCGAGAGAGTTTGTAAATCTGAGGAACATGACTACCCTTCTTCTCAACAATAATCGGTTGTCGGGACAGATACCTACTGGCTTTGCAAATGTCACCACGGTTGCAGTGTTTAACGTGTCGTATAATAACTTGTCGGGGCCACTGCCTCGCAATAACGACCTGATGAAATGCAACAGTGTCATCGGGAACCCTCTCCTGCAATCCTGTCGTATCTTTTCTCTTGCTTCTCCATCCCCCGATCAGCCTGAAATATCAGCGGATTCGACTTTCTCTCCATCTAAAGGTTCGACTGAAGGGGGAAGAAGTGCGGGATTAAGTTCGATCGAGATTGCAGCTATAACATCTGCAGCTGCTATTGTCTCGGTCCTCTTTGCTCTGATCATCCTTTTCTTTTACACCCGAAAGTGGAGCCCGAGATCCCGAGTTGCTGGATCCACTAGGAAGGAAGTCACAGTCTTCAATGAAATCGGGGTGCCAGTAACGTTTGAAACCGTTGTTCAGGCCACCGAGAATTTCAACAATGGAACCAATTGCATCGGTTATGGAGGTTTCGGGGCTACATACAAAGCCGAGATTGCTCCGGGAGTTTTAGTTGCAGTAAAACGGCTAGCTGCAGGTCGTTTCCAAGGATTTCTACAATTTGACGCCGAAATTAGAACACTCGGGAGGCTTCGGCATCCGAATCTCGTGACATTGATCGGGTATCATGCCAGTGAATCCGAAATGTTTCTTATTTATAACTACTTGCCGGGAGGGAATTTGGAGAAGTTCATCCAGGAGAGGCCCACGAGGGCCGTGGATTGGAGAATACTTCACAAGATAGCTCTCGACATAGCCCGGGCACTTGCTTATCTACACGATCAATGCGTGCCTCGTGTGCTTCACCGTGATGTAAAACCGAGCAATATACTGTTAGATGAGGCCTACAATGCATATCTATCCGACTTTGGATTGGCCCGACTTCTCGGGACTTCAGAGACACATGCCACCACGGGTCCCGCTGGAACATTTGGATATGTTGCTCCCGAATATGCAATGACTTGCCGTGTCTCTGACAAGGCCGATGTCTACAGCTATGGCATCGTGTTGCTCGAGCTAATCTCCGACAAGAAGGCGCTCGATCCCTCGTTCTCGAGCTATGGGCACGGCTTCAACATCGTCTCGTGGGCCTCCATGCTCTTAAGGCAAGGTCGCGCCAAGGAGTTCTTCACCGCCGGGCTTTGGGATTCGGGCCCTCACGACGACTTGGTGGAGCTGTTACACTTCGCGGTTATATGCACAGTCGAGACCCTCTCCACCAGGCCTTCGATGAAACAAGTTGTGAGAAGATTAAGGCAACTTCAACCCCCTTCTTGTTAGCAGCTCGGGCAACATTGCGAGATTCATAGGAAAGGTATATCGCTAAATCCCACTTGTAATTTATAACCTTTGCAGTTTGTAGGGAAGAGAGTCCGGGTTTGAGTTTTTAGCGATTGTTGTACATTGTAGTATAGCTTTGCCCCCATTCTTTTTCCATGTTCTGTGCCTTGTAGGGGGTTCACCAATGCATCTATAGACTATAGAAGAGTGCAGATAATTATCTCCAGAGTTTTGTTACTTCGTATACATGTACCTCACCTTTACTTGTTGCTTGTTCAATTAAGATGAAAATAGGGAAGCATCTTCTGCAGATTTTCTTGATTTTTCAATCAGGCAGTGCAAGAACAGCTGCAAGTTTCATGATGAAAATTGGGAGAATTTCTGCAGATTTTCTTGATTTTTCTAATAGGCTGTTCAAGAACATAGACAGATAGACTGTTGGTCGAGTCGTTGGCTTAATAACCACAAAGTTACAAGTTCAAGTTCGGCTCATAGATTTTCTTGGTTTGAACTGATCAGCTTTGAACAAATTAAGTTGATTTACTTTTGTGCTGCTTTGTTGGTTAGAGTCACAACGCTAAATTTACTTAATATCGCATTAATTACTAGGACTTTTTGGATTTACTTGCGGCCGCAAAAACTAGGAAGTCAGGAATTTCAAAACACGTTAAGGAATTAACTTATCATGGCTCCGACCTGCTCGTGTGCATGGGCACCACGTGTCATACATGCCGGGAGACGGCATGTACTTCCTGTAACTTTCTATAAATAGTACATTAATTGTCCTATAGAGGAGGCTTTTTTGGATTTATGTGTTTATTTCTTACTTAACTCTTAGGGCTCGTTTGATTCGCAAAAAATATTTTAAAAGAAGAGGAGGCTTTTTTGGTTGGTGGAAAAAGAATTACTGGGAATACTAATTTTATTGTTTGGTTGAATTTGGAATTGTAAGGAATAATGAGTATAAAAATTTATATCCCTGCAAATTAATAAAAGTAATATAATTAAAAAAGAAAGTAAGGGTAAAATAGACAAATCTATTTACTTTTTTCTTCCCATCTTTCATGGACAACAAAATCTTTGGTCCAATTAAAGATTTTGTTTTCCTCAAATTTAAAGAATTCATTTCCAATAGAAAATAAATTTCATGAACTAAGCACTAAAAAACAACGTTTTCCTTCATTTTTAAGGAAAATGTTTTCCAAACATCCACTTAGTAACTCGGGGGGTTTTCTGACCTTACATCATTTCCCCAGCTCTAAGCTTAAGCCGTAAACCAATAAACAGAATAGAGAAGCATCCGTTCACAGTGGTGTATTAAATTCGACATAGACTTATTAACCTTTAATTTAAAGCAACAATCAGTCATAAACAACCTAAATTTCTTTTTCTTTTTTTTTTTTTTTTTTTTTAATAATAATCCCCAATTTATATACTCTCGATAATGGCGGCAGATTTTCATCAATGACTCAGAAAAGAAGAAAAGAGCAGTTCCAACTTTGATGGGATCTGAAATCTGTACAAATGCATAGAGCTTTGAATAGGGTAAAAAAAAATCAAAATCTACTGATAACTGCGTTCTTGCGAGAGCTCTGTTGTTTGCATACAGATAAAAGAGGAAAAACAACATTAATCTCAAATCGCACCCTCCATTTTCGGAGTGGTAACCATTAAAACAGACAAGACGGGGAAACGATGATATGCTTCAACGGGTGCGCCACGTCACCGCCGCCGGCGTGCTTCACGAACTCCGCCGGCGACAGAAAGTTCCCATGGCAGACGCATACTATCCTCACTTCCTCCCCCTTCCGATATCTGTACAAGAACCCCTCTATCTTCTTCCCCTCCGGCCCGTCCCCTCTCGTGGTCACACAAGGCATGTTAAACAAAGCATTCCTCACCACCACTTCCTTTGAATCCTTCCCGGAGTTGCCGGAGTTATTCACTGCGGGCTCGACGAGGGTGGCGGCGGGCCGCTGCTCGAGCTCCCGGGAGTGGACGCTTGACGGGCTTCGGGCTTCAACATTCTTACCACACACTGATACAATCAAGACATAAAACAATTAGAAACATTATGGATTTCAATGATCTGAACATATAAAGTTAAGGGTTTTAAAGCATAAAAGTTAGGCATGTTGTAATCATGAAAGCTTTATTGCTTAATTAATGAACACAAAAGGTAAATCAACTTAGATTATCTATAACTGATCGGCTCATATCAAAACTAATAGGCCATTAATGAACACAAAAGGTAAATCAACTTAGATTATCTATAACTCATCGGCTCATATCAAAACTAATAGGCCATTTCTGGCTCTTGTGAACCTAACCAGTAAAGGACCACAAGAAGCTGATTGTCTATATCTGATTGGCTCAGATCAAGACTAATAGGCAATTTTTGGCCCTTGTGAACCTAATCGGTAAAGGACCACAAGAAGTAAAGTAACTTAGGTTAGCCATGACTGATCGGCTAAAAACCAAGAAGACTAATAGGTCGTTCTTGGATAAAGATTGTAGTCTAAGATATTCATAATTGACGGGCTCAAACCAAACTCTTGAAGATTACAACTTTATTACTGTACAAAAGAGATGAGTACAGAGCTAAGCAGATTGTAAACACAAGATTGAAGAAGGGTTGATACCTTGTAAAGGTTGACTGTCAAAATCGGAAATCCCAGAAGATCCACTGCCTTGAGAAACTGAGGAGCCCTGTGAGGAAGGCAATGCGTTTCCATTACTCAAAACTGGAATCAAACCGTTGCCATTTTCTTCAGAATGAGGAGGATCTTCTTTGTCCAGTTTCTCCCTCACAACCCTCACGTTTTTCAGCTTCTCCATCCGCTTTCTCTTCGCCTCCATGCGCTTCTGCGACTGCGCCTCCTTCCTCCTCCGCCACTCCTCCGTCTCCGCCGCCTCCGCCGGCAGCGAGCACGTCCTACTCAGCGGCGGCGCGTACGGAGAGAATGCACGCGCCCCCCCGTTGAGCGCGAAGCTCGATATTGAAGAACAGCGTTTCAGCTTCTGGGCTCTATTCGGGTCGACCCCGAATTTCCCGTTCAGTGAAAGCCCCAGGCTGAGCTCAATCCCCCCCTCCTCCCCTCCGTCGGCCGCCGCTTCTCTACCGCCGCCGTTTCTCTCCTTCGTCTGTATTCTCCGATCAAAATTCCCCGGAAAGCTGCCGCCGTTAACGCATAAATGCAACGGATCTCTAGAAACACCGCTCGCCAACGAGAAGCACCCCATCCCCCGAAGTTCTTCCGCCTCCGCCATTAACTAACAAACAATCCCTACCGGAAAATTGATCCTTTCAAGTGAAAAAAAAAAAAAAAAAAAAGGAAGGCTTTTTCAGCATAAATTCAAAATCCCACAAATCCCCTACACTAAACGAACACAACAATTATCCCAGACGTTTTGAAGTTTTTTGAGTCGAGAATTCGCCGGAAAAACAAGAATTGCCCAGAGAGGGTAGAAAACCAAAAGATATATAAAACACAGAAAGGCGAAATTTGTAGAGTGATTTTTTTTTTTTTTCCTCAATTGCGGTGGCGCGGCGGAAATGACTATAACGCCCCCGATTGCGAAACGTAAATGCGTGAGCGATTGACACGTGGTGGGACTGCACAGCTCGGGAAGGCCCACGTGGTTTCGACAGCCTGGTTTCGCGGACGACGTCAAACATGTGTCCTCTCGCTTCACAAGTAACGGGTAAAGTTACCGGCAAGACCGACACGTATCGGTCTCTGCCCTCCCCTAGGGCTGCCACGTGGCCAGACATTCTCGGCCTCGTAAAGCCGCGACGCCTCTCCCTTCTCCCTATATCTAACGTTCTCGCTTTCTTCGGTGAGTGTCTAGCTGTCATGCGGTAGATGTCGTGGCGGCTCCTACGTTTGAAACGTGGCAAACAGTCGTTGCTTTTGGATACTGTTGGCGATTGCGTCTCTTCAACCTACGCCTTTCATGACATTATTCGTGATGGTTTTAATTCAGCTAGTCCGATATAAATGCCCAAACGTGTCAATTTAGGTATCATATCATACATTGTTTAATAAATTTACTCGAATAAATACTGCAACTGAGTCTAAAATTTGTAGTTAGGTTCAAGTGTTACTGATAGTATGAATTCGCTGTGTGAAGTACAAATACGTACGAACTGATAGGTCGAGTCGTATTCAGGTCCTGTTATAGTCTATTTGTTGGTTTAAGTCTAGAGTTTGGATGACCACTCCGACCAAAATAGGTCGGGATTGGGCCCAAGACAGCGAAGTACTACTACGACCGTGATTTTAACTCGTCATAGCATTTAGGTCAGGAATATCTAGGTAATGGTCAGTCAAGGTCGAGAATGATTCATCTCAGTGACCTGACCGGATACCGAGCAAGTACACGGTATGTAGAAGGAGGTATACTTTAAGAATATTTCTTATCAGTTACGTGTTTAAAGAGTTATTGATTATTCGAGTAAACATTATTCCAGTATATGAATAGCTGCGTGTGTCTTGTGACGACACTAATTCAATATGTGAACGGTTACTTTTGTCTTAGAAGTTAGAAGTGATGACAGTGAGAACAGCTCACGTGTCACGGCACAATAAATCAATATTTGTACGGTCACTTTTGTCTTAAAAGTTAGAACTGACGACAAGGAGAACAATTTAATTGTCTGTCTCGGAGCAATAAATCAATATCTGTATCGTCACTTTTGTCTTAAAAGTTAAAGGTGATGGCACTGACCAGAGTCATGTTCATCTCATAGGTGTTGATGACAATTATAGACCTCTTCCTATAAAAAACATTTCAAATTTGAATCTTGGTTCGTGACAATTAATTATAATTGTCTTTTTTTTTTCTTTTTCTTTATATCCTTTTACGTACAAAGAGTTTAACCTAACTTGGAGGTGATACCAAATTGGTAGATCTCATATTCAAATTGCCTGTGATGACAGTGAGAACAGTTCACGTGTCTCGGCACAATAAATCAATATTTGTACGGTCACTTTTGTCTTAAAAGTTAGAACTGATGACAAGGAGAACAATTTAATTGTCTGTCTCGGAACAATAAATCAATATCTGCATCGTCACTTTTGTCTTAAAAGTTAGAATTGATGACAAGGAGAACAATTTAATTGTCTGTCTCGGAACAATAAATCAATATCTGCATCGTCACTTTTGTCTTAAAAGTTAAAGGTGATGACACTGGCCAGAGTCATGTTCACCTCATAGGTGTTGATGACAATTATAGACCTCTTCCTATAAAAAAAAATCCAAATTTAAATCTTGGTTCGTGACAATGAATTATAATTGCCTTTTTTTTTTTTTTTTCTTTATATCCTTCTACGTACAAAGAGTTTAACCTAACTCGGAGGTCATACCAAATTGGTATATCACATATTCAAATTGCCTGTGATGACAGAGAACAGTTCACGTATCTCGGCACAATAAATCAATATTTGTACGGTCACTTTTGTCTTAAAAGTTAGAACTGATGACAAGGAGAACAATTTAATTGTCTGTCTCGGAACAATAAATCAATATCTGCATCGTCACTTTTGTCTTAAAAGTTAGAACTGACGACAAGGAGAACAATTTAATTGTCTGTCTCGGAGCAATAAATCAATATCTGTATCGTCACTTTTGTCTTAAAAGTTAAAGGTGATGACACTGGCTAGAGTCATGTTCACCTCATAGGTGTTGATGACAATTATAGACCTCTTCCTATAAAAAAAATTCAAATTTGAATCTTGGTGTTGACAATGAATTATAATTGCCTTTTTTTTTTTCTTTTTCTTTATATCCTTCTACGTACAAAGAGTTTAACCTAACTCGGAGGTCATACCAAATTGGTAGATCTCATATTCAAATTGCCTGTGATGACAGTGAGAACAGTTCACGTGTCTCGGCACAATAAATCAATATTTGTACGGTCACTTTTGTCTTAAAAGTTAGAACTGATGACATGGAGAACAATTTAATTGTTTGTCTCGGAACAATAAATCAATATCTGCATCATCACTTTTGTCTTAAAAGTTAGAATTAATGACAAGGAGAACAATTTAATTGTCTGTCTCGGAACAATAAATCAATATCTGCATCGTCACTTTTGTCTTAAAAGTTAAAGGTGATGACACTGGCCAGAGTCATGTTCACCTCATAGGTGTTGATGACAATTATAGACCTATTCCTATAAAAAAAATTCAAATTTGAATCTTGGTTCGTGACAATGAATTATAATTGCCTTTTTTTTTTCTTTTTCTTTATATCCTTCTACGTACAAAGAGTTTAACCTAACTCGGATGTCATACCAAATTGGTAGATCTCATATTCAAATTGCCTGTGGTGCAGTGGGGTTAATGATTCTGCACTATGCACATTTATTCCTTGAGTTCTTTGGTTATTTGATTGTCATATCATATTTAAAATCAATTAGTGATAAGTATATGGACACCATTTAACCACATCTATGATAAGCTACCGTGCCACATCTCAAATTGAAGTCGTGGCTGAACTTGACCTATACCCAATAGTTCAAACATTCACCTTCCTATTATAAACTAGTTTTGATTGCTCATAAACACTGTCCTATAAATCGTGATGTTCTAAACCTCGTGTTGGATGACTATCCTAGTACTTAACATCCAACCCAAGCAACCTTTATTAATTACTAAATACTCATAATATATTATAAAAACTTTAAGATGAAACCTCAATTCATTTATTTATACAGCTTGGAGGGAATTAGTTTCTATTTATAACTTGCACTTCTTTCCATTTAATTCTTAAGAAATTATTAAAAGTTCGCTTATAAATAATTTTTTTCATGTGTCTATAAATTTCTATAAACGCTCATCAAATCAGGTAGTACATTTGATAGCTAGGTAATATATTTTTCAATCAAAGTGCCCGGAGTGGTATTCAAAATCTCCTCCAAATATTTGTAATATTCTCCATTCGGATTTGAATTAATAGTATTTTACTTGTTCTTAAAAAAAAAAAAAAAAATCATTTCTTTAGACATTCTTGCTTTGGGACCTGTTGCACCTGCAAAAACTTCATAGGGGAGAATTGACCATTCACCCAAGCTTTTTATGGCAAAAAAGAAGCCATTGGAGCAATGTGTTAGTGGATCCAACACAGCACATGACCAAGTGGGCGATTAGACAAATTTCTTTTGTACTTTGGGCAATTAAAAAAAACATTAAAAATAGGGAATATTTAAAAACCGACCTATTCAACATTATATCATTTACCGACCGGACAATGGGACATCAGCACGAGAAAGCATTGTTATGACTTACAAAATAAAGTGATTTAGTCCAAAATGAATGAAATAAACGATGGTGTGAGTAAAACATAATTTTTATATTAAAAAGTTATGAGTTTGATTATTGTGAAAAAGTCTTTGTCGGTCAAGTTAGTAATATAATATATGATAATGTGATTTATTTCTCCTTATTTAGTTACTATCAAGTTATGATTGTGAATTTTCATGTCACTCATAATAATAATAATAATAATAATAATAAGTGATTTAATAGTCAAATATTAATTGTCCATGCAACTTGGCAACTTGCTTAGTGCTTACCATATCCTTAATACTATACTGCAATTTGCAAAAGTTATGATGTCAATTCCCGACAATATATGTTTAGATTATGCTAATGACAATGACAGCAATATAACCTTGCTAGTGCCCAAGTCAAATGCAAAGATTTTCTCTGTTGATTCATGATTTTAAGAATATTACTTAAGTAATTAAACAACAAACTTTATTTTGCACTGCACATCAATGAATAAACACTTGAAATTTATAGGGCAATTAATATTAGATCGTCTTGAGCTTTTAATTCTTTATTTATAATAATGCTTTCATATTTACTTTTCAATAATGAAATGTAAAAGAGAATAATGCTATTTTCCTTTCATAATTTATCGCGTAATGTTTACTTCTTGACAATTTGAAATTATTAATTAAATTTTTAAATGACAAAAAATCAACAATCACAATCTGATAATGGGTAAACTTGCTCTTGGTAATACCTTGCAAGTTATATATGAAAGGTACCTTATTTTCTCACATGTCAACAAACTAAATTTTTGTGATTGAATATATAAATATTATTAGTCTACGGATATAACGTACCATTAATTTCTAAAATAAGGATCAATTAATAGAATCCTTAATCCCAAAAGAACAAGGCTTTATGTGAATTTGTGTGGTCTAATCAACACCATCCAATTAAAAATTTACACGATCTAAATTTGTTTTCTAAAATCATGAAACTTTTTAAAAATTGTCACAAAAATTGCTAAAAAATAATATACTATCCAAAAAAATAAAAAAATAAACACCATCAGATCTCACAAAATCAACGACAAGTTCACACCAAAAGACATATTATTATCACCTTAATATCATTCCAATTAATAGATATGGTAAATTAAATACATTTATGAAATTTATTTAAGAACTAATTTCACTTTTGGTCCCACGGCTTTAGAGGTTCT